AAAGCTCCTTATAGCGGCACCCGTTCGTCTCCCGTAGTATGTAACAAGCATAACATTTTGACCTCCAAGGTGGTGCCGGTGAGAGACTTTTTCTGTGCGTTGTTGAACAATAAAAAATAGTGCTCAATGTACATGTCAATGGCTGCTAATGGGGAATGAGAGACAGGAGCATTCGGCTTTTAGTTAACGCACAGGCTGCGATCACCATTAGCAGCCATTGGCATGTACATTGAGCCCTATCTGACAAGAAAGGGTTGCTACGTTATACTCGCTGGGTGTCAGCGCTGCGGGATGCCAGGCAAGAAAAGCTGGTGGACTGCTTGACAGCGCCATGGCCACATTACACGCACGTCATCATAACATAGTCGCTGACGTTTGGCTGCTGAGAAATGATGCGGTAATGCAGCTATTGATGTCTTATGACGTCTCCTGGTCTGCTCACGCAAGTCGACGATGTCATCCTTCTCATATTTGGACGTGCGGTTAACGACCATAGTCTTTAACTATGCTTCAGTGTTTTCGCAGCCTTCTGGCTTGCCTCTTAATGACATTGTGGTTTCAGGATCGCAACGTCATAGACATTATTCTTCGCTGCATCGGGGGTCCGTGGCTTCACAAGGAATGAAATGTCTGACTCTGCTAATGGTATTCGCATTATTTAATTATTCACTTATTGCAATTAATAACGCTTTGATTGGGGTAAGCTACAGATACCGGACTGGTCTGCAGGCATTTCTTTTTTGGTGAAGCATACCGTGCGAGTCGCCATGCGTTGACAGATACCGTGGCACAACATCTCAATATATTTCCGAATCGGCACCATTTAAGTCGTTCTGTAGATATGTACTGATATAGTTCTCGAATGCCGAGGCCAAATATCTTTTAAGAAATAATCCCTATATAATGTATAAGAAATGCGCTCTTTCAGATGGCATCGTTCGGTAACGTTTTGTTCACCCCTTAGGTTGGCTGGTTTGAGCATCGGCGGGAGCTGCGTGGTTGCCGCGGCCGCCACGGGATGCCGCGACGTGCCCGCGCGATATAGGGAGACACGGAGACGCGCGCACATGAAGGCTCCCTAGCAAGATATTACTCTGAAAGTAAGCCACGCGTTCGAAGTGTCATGACTTATAAGGCACGGAGGCCAAGTTACCCCTCCCCCTCCAGTTGGGCAAGGTCGAGCCCGAACGAAAACAAGCTCCTGTGGGTGCAAAAATGAAAATTAAAGCAATTAAGACAGGCCATTTGTCCTCAGATTTCCGGGGCTAATGATTAGATGTGAGCAGTTCTTAGAAAGTACAAACGGGTGTCGCCATTGCGTAAAAAAAAACACAATCATAACCCTGCGCATTGAAAACTGTAGTGTGAGGTCCGACTGAGTATAAGTTGACAACACGGTTCTCCCTCCTGCCCCCTCCTACGCAACCCTGTGCGAAAAACTGCGCAGTCCTATAAGGCCACAGTGCGACCGACCAAAACAAGAGTATAAAGTTGGCCTTGTCTGTAATCCATGACTGCTCACTTAAGGAAAGAGAAATGTTTTTATTTAAATTCAATGCAAGTTTAGGACTTGAAAACTGGCTTCTACGACGATACGCGACGTACGACTCACGGCGTGAGGAGCTTCGCCCCCTAAACACGCAAACCTAACGCTACAAAAACAGTTATGCATTTTAAAATATTACTAACACGTCTCTCGCGCGGCTGGCGTAGTCGGGAGTGTAAAGAGTTTCACTCCCGCCCCAATTTTCAATGTTGCACACACACACACACACACACACACACACACACACACACACACACACACACACACACACACACACACACACACACACACACACACACACACACACACACACACACACACACACCTCTTTGAAAAATAATTATGGCTGAGGCTAGTGCAGTTCTGAAGCTAACGTCGAGAAAGCCAGCTACGTACCATAACTTTTCGACGAAGTGCGTAAAACATTGTTCAAAAGCTACAGTGCACACTTGGCGGTTTTAGACTGGCACCACCAGCCAGTTATTGAAGACAGGGTTCAGCAGCCTCCACTGGTTTTTTGGGCATCGCATTATCAAATATTTTCGGGGGATATTTTTTTCATAAGTGCTAATTAAACAAATATGACAATAGATCTTCGTCGTCATTGGGTGCACGTTAAAGAACCCCAGGTGGTCGAAATTTCCGGAGCCCTCCACTTCAGCATATTTCATAATCATATTGTGGTTTTGGGACGTTAAACCCCGCATATCAATCAGATCTTCGTCGTCAATCACAAAAACTATACGTCAATTGTGCAATTTTATTATTGTGCCCATAAAAACTCTAAACATTGACACTCGGCATATTATTGCGCGCATGGACCACACAGAGGGTACAACTGAGCATGCATGCATATCCAAGACATTGCGAAAGCATGTCTTTACACTTCTAGATGCAAAGCAGCTTTTCGACTAGCCTGTGTAACGCTGTCCCTCCGTCCACACCTCTCCCCTCGCCGCAGGTGTTGGAGCGGTGCCAAGTAGCTCATGCCGTCCTAGCAGTGCGCGGTGACGTCTCTCTCCCTCGTCTGCTTTGTGCCAGCTATCTCTCGCTTCACCCCCTCTACCGCTCGCGCCCACTCCTCACGTGGGCATCATCTCACACGCGCCACTACTCACCATCTGTGGGCGAGAAAAAGCCGCGAGCCGGTGGGTACGTGCGCCTCGATAATATCACGGCGCCGACAATGTGGACAGCGCGCCGCTGCTTGCCGCGCGATAGCGCCGACAGGCGGGACGCCATCGCAGCATGTTTCCCGCTAGTGTGTACGTACCTTTCCCGGCTGTCGCCGGCGTTCGCGAGCGTTAGCGAAGCCGATCGCGTTCGCGAGTGGCGACATCAACACCGACTAGGCACGAGCCAGGGAAGCCGAACGCAAGCGTTGGCAGTGGAAGACCAGCGACACCGGTCAGGTGTGAGTCAAGAACACCGATCGCGTTCGAGAATTGAGATTGTGCGCGGGTAACACCGACGAGACGCGAGCCAAGAAAGCCGAGCGCTAGCTACTTCAACGCGTCCCGCCTTCCATGTCTTTGCGTGTCGAACATTTACTCGAGTAAACGCTACACCGAGTTTCGCTTCAAACCGTTCTTCCAGCACCCGTGTCAACGCCCCTTTCAACGAGGTCAACGCCGTGCGCACCACTGCTGTTTTGCATCCCACCAGGTTTCCCTTCGGGGAGATGGTCCATTTTAATGTTTATGTACATCACTCCACTGATCTGGTGGATTCAGGTGCAATTAAGCACCTTATACAAACGAAGTAGGAGGCTTTTTGTTTGGTTTGGCGCAAATAAAGCGAAAACCGAAACCTCAGTCACTTTCAGTACAAAATTGAGTTCATTCACTAATACTTTCATACCAACCAGCACACGAACTGGTTAGCTCTGTGTTATGTTATAGTGAACATATTAGCTATGCTGACTATGCTCTAGGAGACCAATGTTACAGTAAATGGTGCAACACTTCAAATACTTGGCACGGTGCCCTATTTTAAAATATTATGTACCTTCTTTTTTTCAAACAAAACTGTCAGTGCTATAATGCCTCAGAACAGTGAAGGATCGCCATAGGAAAAAGGGAGTGTTTGAATAAGCGATGCTTATTATCACTCAGTGTGAGCATTCGGGCCCTCGTAGCTATCAACCACCAATTAAGGCCTTTAAAAATAGCAATCACATTCATGCCAGACCAAATTGCATCCAAAGGGGATTACAGAAGAATGCAAGCAGGGTTAAGAGTTATGCTAAGGTCATTGTGTGTTACGCTAACATGGTAGACAAACTCTAATATCTCGTGGAATGAGGTGCTGCATAATAGGGCCCGGCAGTCATCATACACTTTTGTCAAACACTTACTCAATATCAGTCATGACACAGAGCTGCATAATCCTGAAGAAGCAGCAAGGGCACAGAAAAAGTTGAAGAGCTTATCAAAACTCTACATATGCCAAGACAAAATAACAATAATATGGAAGACTTTTATTGATTATTCCTAGCAAATAAAAAAATCCTGCTCCTCTTTCTGTTTTGCGTTTTTGAAACAGATGCTATTGGTAACTCAATGCTTCCCTGTAGAATGACACACCCCTATCAGTGTCCGGTGTAGAAACAAAAAAATACACTCACAAGGAGAGGCTACTTGCAGTGTACACCTTCTTCGTAGTGTTCAACAAAAAGCACCATGTGCAGAGATGCCAGCACATCATATGCTGGCTAGTGAAGAAACATGTGATAAGTTACATATACAGGGTGTCCCGCATAACTTCAGCCAAGAATTTTAAAGTGAAAGGCATTTATAATGCGAATTGAACCATACGCATACTACTCGCACTAGCCTGTATGTACTACGGCTATTTTTTATTTTTCCTCATACAAATTAATTACCTATTCTTAATTACTTATTCTTAAATTATGGCCTAGAAACCCAAAATATGAACACTGAGATGTATAGCACTTTCAGAAACCACCAACTAAATTGTTTCCTGCACGATACATTTCGCGCTCTTATTGTTTCCACGTTCTAAAAAAAGTCCGTGAAATGTGAAAAGAAGCCGTATGAAGGACCGCAAGCGCACTGCTATAGTGCTGCTATAGGCTTTCTTTACAACGCGGAAAAAATAACAGCGCTGTATCGTACAGAAAACAATTTAGTCGGTGGTTTCTGAAAGTGCTTTACATCTCAGTATTCATATTTTGTGTTTCCAGCCCATAATTTAAAAAATAGGTAATTAGGAATAATTAATTATTATAGAGAGAAATAAAAAATAGCCGAGTACCTACAGGCAAGTGCGAGTAGTACGTGTTTGGTTCAATTTGCCCCTGAAGTGTCTTTCATTTTCAAATTTCTGGCTCAAGTTATGTGGGACACTCTGTATATTACATGTCCACACAGATCAGCAAGCAGAAATATTGCTTGCCTTTCACCTGCAAAATCATTTGTGCCCAGTCACCTTGGTAAGAATACTGGTGCACTATATTTAAAAACATTGATACTGATATATATCAAATGCAGCAATGCAATCAAGAGATTACCCACCTGCACATAGAAGGAATTCTCTGGGACAATAAATGGAAAACCTCATTAAAATTCAGTCAACTGCCTTGCCTGACCACATACACTTCACCAGTGCCTGCTGCGCGTCCAACAGTTCATCTAGAGATGAAATGAGCTACTCGGAATAAGGTCATCAGAGTACTGACATTCACATTGCTCTACAGTTACTACAAATACGAATTTTCAGGAACAGTTCTGCAAGTGCAACTTTGTCTCGTTGAATTGTGTAATGCTGTTACTAAAAGCTTAAGGCCGCCTAAAATTTGTTTATTTTTTTTATAAAGGTTTGGCAAGGTTCGACACAAGACATTAGAAAGAATTTAATAGATGATACCTAAATTCAACAAACATTCAAGGCCTAGTGGGTAGGACCTTACTACTACAGGAAAACAAAAGTGATATGACAGGCAAAAGTGGCAGAAACAAATGAATTTTAGTGAAAACAAGAAAATTTAACTAGATAATCAGGAACTACGTAGCGAACTCTTTTTTTTTTTCACTTGGAATGCATGGTTCACATTAAATGTATGTTTATAGGAACTTCCAAACACACATTACCACACCATAGGTGACAAGAGTAAAACACTTCACAGAGGCTGCATGCAGTAATGCTTGAAAATTTCATTAATTTCAGAAACGGGAAGACTGCACTTGTAAAAGTTCACAGCCACTGGGTCACTTTGCCTGGTAACATGCAATAAACCATGCATGCTGAATAATGCATAAGGAATGTACACCTGAGAATTCCAGAAAATATAAGTGCAAAACAAAACTAAGTACTCTATAATAACATTAAGAATCGGCTGCAAGAGGCAGAAAGAAAAATTAAGAAAGTGAGGTTGAACATTTGACATGCTCCATTTTTTTTGGGAGGGCTTTAATGAACTATATAAAGGTACTCAGGCCTCTGCAGATATTTATTTTTTCTTAAATTTGCACTAGATTTGGCGTACATTCAGTCATTGAAAACACACACACACATACCTCAGTTTGTTTACGCCACACTGCCTTTCAGCCACCAGCGCTGAAGGTCGAAAGACACAGGGTGTTTATGATCCATTATTCACTTCTTCACTATGACCTCATATTACAACCACTCAGAATGTTGTTGCCTTTGATAATGATTTCCATAAAGCAATCACAAAGGCCCCGCAAACTGATGTGGCAAAATAACAGCAGCAGTAAAGCAGACAGGTACACGAGTGTCCTTTCACACACGCTTTTCTAGTGTTTTGCTATCAATACACACAATGCAATAAAACTGCTCGAGTAGGGCAATTTGCTCCATCCTTAGCTAGGCAAGGTGGTGCAGCAAGCCGAATTGATATGTCACTGCAATTTTGCTGGATGTAGTACATCAGCATTTCAAGTTTTCAAGTTTGTGTAAAGCAAGTAGGTAACATAAGAAAACGCTGTGCCTTGGTGGCTGGGCTGTTTGCTGTTGTACCCTCTTGCATGCCAGCACAGCTTGCGTGGCTAGCTTTACATGCCCAAGACTGAGCTCGTAGTGCAACGGCCACTCCTTTAAGGGAGCCCTCTCGCAGGAGCGAAATCAGTGGTCAAAACGAGTGTAAGGCGTATCCTCTCGCACGAGGCCATATTTGCGCCGGATGTCGTCGTTGCGCGCTTTGCGCTCAGCTCGTCTTTCGTCGGCACGTTCCTGGCGCTGTTTCCTCTCCTCTTCCATGCGAGCCATGTCGCGCAGCCATTTGCTGTTCTGGCGCTTGCGACAACAGCAGCAACAGCAAACCACCAGAGCGAGCAGAATGGTGCCGACGACCACGCTGATGGTAATGACTGTGCCTTGTAGGGAAACTGCATTGAAGGAAATACAATGACATAAACAAGCAGCAGCAGTAGCAGAATGCAGACTTGCTTCCAAACGGGAGCAAGAGTGGGACAGCAAATGAGGGAATGGCAGGGAGGTAAGACAGATTTGGTCCAGTTTGTTGACCTACACATTCGGTAGCAAAGTGAACACACATGTGCTTGTGTCCAGCTTCGTTAAGTGTCGCTGACAGTGGCAGTTAAATATAGATATGAAAGCCGCAAGCATCTACTCTAATCATCTTCCCCTTTCAACACTAGCCTGTGCCCCTAACACATAGCTTTCAATCTTTGTGCAAGTCTGCAGAGGAAAGTGAGCGCTGCAGAAGCTTGCCCGTTTCAGTACTCTATGCCTGGTAAAACTAAATGTAACATTTATTTCCATTTCACAGTAATGTCTACCCTGCCCTCCACTGCTCCCAAACGTGTTTTCGTGTCATAACATAGGCTTTACATAGATTGAATTGGAGCACTGCACGGGCTGTTTTTTTTCGGCTCGACCTGGCCCGAAAATGCGATGCTCCGGCCTGCCCGAGCCCTGCCTGATGTTTTTAAATATGGCCTGTACCCGGTCTGGACACAAAAGTTTAAGCCCGACCCATTTCAGCTAATGATGCTTTGAGAAAAAACGACACAGTGTCCGATTTCCTGTTATTGTCAAGAAACCTGCAGTGCACCAGATATTTTCTAGAGAGTTTTGAGGACTTATTTCAGTGTCATAAATTTCTCGGGTACTGTGTATATTTTTGAAAAATTAAGCAGTAACACTTTTATAAAATATTTGCAAGGCAATATAAATTGTAATTGAAGTCATAACTAGCTGTCTCATGTATACAGCGCTAACCACGCAGTCAAATTTTTTCATTTAAAAGAACGACTAAAACATAATACTCGAAAAAGAGGAAAAAATGCCACACATTTATAATTTGAGTCCACATAAATGACATACGAGCTGGGGCTGTTGAGTATTTTGCTTTATTTATTCAATACTGCAGACTCAAGGTCCAAGCAGGGTGGTAATACATATACAAATATAAATAAAATAATTGAAAAACGAAACAATAAAGGGCAAAGAATACAACAATACAACGAATACAACAAGCTGGGCAGTGTTAGATAAAGCTCTCGTGTTCACTCCTCGGCAGGCAACTGTCCCTAACGTACACTTTGTTTTCACGCTCAAAACGAGAAGGTTCTTTGACCCACCCCTCTTTCGCCGAGTGGCTGCCCCACCAATGACATAGATCTGTCAAAGCGAGCCACACCTGTTGGCGAGCGAGCCGGCGTCTTTGCTCTTCCCTGAATATGACTATCTTGTTGTCTTCCTGTGACAGCCTTCGATCTTTGAGAGCATTATATCTTAATGCAAGAGCGGACGAAGGGCTTCCAAAACGACTGTGTATTATATCGCTGAAATAAATAAGCCGGTGGCTCCTTTAGCGCTCCATATTGAATGGAGCGTATCGGGCGCCCGGAGAGCAATCCCACGAAAGGATCGGAATCAGTAGAGTAGGCTGCTTTGTAGCCGATGACCGAAGGCCTCGGTGCGAACAGGGCAGCCAAATCTGGCCGTCTCTGGCTCGCGGTTGTGGTTGCAGCTCACGACAGCGATGATGGAGGAGAATGAGATGTGTGGCAGGAAGAAAAAAGCGGCGACTGTGGTGGGAAAGAAAATTAAGCCTGGGTCTAATACGGGCCTGAATCGGGCTTGAGCCCGACCCATTCCTCAAGCTCATGGCGCCCGAGCCTGGCCCGATCTATCAATCTGGTACCCAGCCTGACTGACCCAGCCGGTGCAGTGCTCTCGTTTGAACATTGCAGGGAAGAAACAGCGCAAAATTCTGACCGGCCACACAAGATGAAGAGGGCACAACACACCCTCTTAGTGTTTGTGTTACAGCCAGCGTGAACGAAGTAGGGGCACTATCAGGCATGTAGCCAGAAATTTGGGGGAGGGAGGGGGGCACCACCTTGATATTGGGAGGGGCACTCCTTTAAGTTGGCCATTTTTCGCTCTCTATGCTAAGGCAAAAAAAAACATTTGGGGGGGGGGGGGGGGGGGAGGTCACGTGTTTGGTGTGCCACCCTCTGGCTATGCCCCTGGGCACTATATAAAAAAAAACATACTATTAGGAGTGATGGCCTACCGGAAAACCATGTTTGATTGTGCCCACCCGAGGTTCTTCAGTGATTACAGTGTTAACTGAAATTAAATTACAGTTCCTTACTCAGAAATTACAATTCTAATTTAAATATGGCTGCGAGCATGCTAATCTTTCTTTCCTCCAAAAAACAGCAAGAACATCTCTCACCGCAAGCTTGACTCAAATTATGAGAGTTCTGCAGAAATGTACTTGCATGTAGCAGGTTTCACCTCTAGGCTCAGTGTCGCACAGCTATAACATCGCTGCTTACTGTGGCCCTAAATCTAAGCACAAGATAATTTTTGCATTTTGCCCCTCTATAATCTATCTGCCATGTCTGGGATTGAACTTTCTACCTCGAGTTCAGCAGTACCTTGATTGCCAGCATAACTTGCGCTATAGCATGCTTACAAGTCAACTGTTAGGGCCTAAACGTTACACTGCAGAGCATGCTGTCTTAGGGTGATGAGTAGACTTAGACAGGCCGTGTTTATAAACGTGCACTTACCTAAAATAACATCAGCTTCACATTTTGCATTAATTGATTAACTGCTAGAGCAGCCAAGATTTGACTGCAGAAACATGCCTTAATAAATAATGCCAGCACAACTTGTTTATGGCAAAGCATCCCTACTACAAATGCTCTACCAATATGAAAAACATAAATATTATACATTTTTGCAGATCAAGCAACAAATAAAATGTTTCTCACCAATATCCACATAAAACAAATACATATGCTTGAGGGTCACTCAACGAATGAAAAAACTGTTGTGTTTGCAGCTTAATTATAGTGATCTTTGATGGTATTTTAAGTCTGTATCAGTGAAAATAGAAGAATACAAGAACGAACTAGGACAATCAAGTAAGCAAGATTGTAAGGATATCACCATCTAAACGTGAAAGGCTTCAACTGCTGAAAAACTTACTGAAGCAGACACCCCAGTATACTTCTGAGAAGTAGGCACACTCATCGTGGCTTGGAATGAGCCTCTTGTATGGATAAAAGCCACATCTCCTCGTTGTCGAACAGTAGTAACACTAGAGATACGAGCCACGAGAAAACAGAAAACATTTAGACATATTGTAGTGTTTTGGAGCACTCTCGAAATAAAAAGTTGGATTTCAGCAAATGTGGTTGGGATTAATAAATTAAGATGAACTGGCTTCGACAGGAAAATTGTATTCTCAAAGCATAAACTGCATAGCTGAAATGTGCGAACAACAAATAGATGCAACAGGGTCAATGTTTTACAATAGCTGGAACAAAGCTTCCATTTGGTAGCGAGAGCTTCTAAGCAGTGAACAAATATTTACTGCCAACATCTTTATATATCCATGTGCATTTCTGTGTCATAATAATGTGTCACCTCGTCAGACAAGGTGACACATTATTCAGGCAATAATTTCTAAGCAAATACTACAGCTCCTTGCTTGTAAAGAAGAGAAATGGAAAAAAGTCTGTGAAGGGCCATCTAGGTATTTTGGAACACATTATTAGACCTCATGCAGGTGGCAGCAGCAACTTTGAAACTTTGTTTACTTTATTATATTCAAATGCAAAGCCCTTATAACCACGTTAATGCTTACCTTATCAGTATGGGCTAGCATGATAAACAGAAGTTTTTAAAATAATAAAGTAGCAGTGTAAATCTGCACCTTACTATTGAATTTTTAAACAAGTGCAGACACCACGAAATTACAATATTTCATACCACTGTGCGTCCTGTTAACCGATAGCATAAAAATTACAATAGTTAATTGCTTTAAACATGAAGATATTACAGGTAACTTTACCTTATTATGTGTCATACTGTTTAGTTCTGTATACAGGTTTCATGGCAACAAACACATTTTCTATAATAACTAGATTATGCAAATTAATTACCTTGAAATCCATAAGCAAAACAAATACAAAGTGCAATGTTAATGCAAAAATTTAAAATGCATGTCAGAAAGTTCACCTGAAATCTTTGGCTATTGAAAAAGAAAAGCAGGAGATAGGTCGTAACAAGAGGCTCAGTGAAACCGTATAATTTTTATTTATTGCTAGTACTTTCTTCCTGGCTTAACGAGAATTCCTTAAGAAAATACTGTGGTGCTAACAAAACTTCTAGGAAAGATGTACCTTGCTGTCTCTTTGCTGTTTCTTTGACACTTTGCACAAACACAGCTTGCTTAGTTATGATTTAAGTGCTACCTATGTAATTGAAGAGTTTTTTACATACCCCAGTGCCAGCTGCTAAGCAATCAGCACAAGACATGTTTGGTCTTCTGTGCACATGCTGAAAATGAAAAAGTACAATGCTGTCACAAGCCCTTGCCACAACTGGTAAATGCAGAAAGACAATGCACCGAAGTATGAAAACATGACTGCTAGATCCACAAAGCAGGTTATACGGGTACACAAAAGGAACAAAAAACAACTTCAAAATTACAACTATCGTCTCGTAACAAGCTTCTCCCAGCAAACAAGCACAAGTTCTTAATGATAACTGCTCCGTAAAAAAAAAATGTCTTTGGCAAGCATACAGGATTGCACTTTATTTAAGATAAATCACAGATTATATGTAAGATGTCAATGTGTTTTAAGATTCACTTTATTATTCCTAGATTAACTTAAATTACTTTTAATGGCAGTCAAGGAATAGTCATGCCCCTGCCTCTTTCCCTTCGTCTCATTATTAACCGCAAGCGGGTGATTGAAAGCGTTCCCGATGGGTCACACGTGTGTTCGGTTCTAAAAGCAATGAAGCCAGAAGAATGAACAACTACACCCCACTCAAACGGTGCTGCTATGTTGCCAGGCTTTATCAAGTAAGCAATGTGCCATTTGAAGGCACAGTGGGACAAACCTCATTTTCACCTTCAATGCTTTGCTATTGGGTGAAAGAGACAATCTTTGTTTCATGATCGATCGTGCCAACAATGAATGAATATTTGGATGCAGGTCATTCAAGGTGCAAATGTTTAGCCCTTTCGCTACCATTGACGAATATAGCCATACAATTTTGAAACAAAAGTGCCGAATGACAACTATATTCATCATCAACAAAAGTTGGTACTACATGGAACCAATGAAGACTATACGCATTATACAGTAAACTCTCACTAAACGGTAATCTGTTGAACGGAACTGCTGTCTAAATGAAACAACTGCCCCAGCATGATTGGTTTCATACTTAGCTTTTCCACCTTTGTTCATCCCTCAGTAAACGAAACTCCTGTTGAACAGAACACATTTTCCTGGTTCCTTCAGGTTCCATTTAAAAAGAGTTGACTGTACATGTATTTTGTGATGCTAGATGGGCAGTTTTATTGATGTTAGGCCGTTTCATTTTCATTTGCTTCCATTTTACTGCCATCTTTTATTGTGTTGCCATGTGAAGACACACATATCTTTTCCCTACTTTACTAAAAAAAAAAAAAATAGCTGAATAAATAATGGTACAATTTCATTCAGCAATAAAAGGTCTACAAATTGGGCAAAATTACTTTGGTAATTTTGGTACACGCTTCTCATCTTCTTAGAAGGCAGCAAAAGGTCTAATATAGTAGTAAGAAAATTGGGTCTTGAATAACAGAAACCTTTGATGCCAAAATCGTTGTTGCCATGTATACTCAACATTTTTTTCTCACTTTGATCTTGGAAATGCCAAATACCTGACATGTGTGTGCTCAGCCAAAAATGATTTGCAAGCTTATGCTCCCCCAAAGAGTATAGTTAGACAGGAGGTTTGTATAATTCCCGAAATGTTTAGCGATTTGTACATCTGCAGAGCAGATAATGCTCCAATCTCACTTGTTTTTTTTTTTTTTTTTTGACGGACAGAAATTGATATGTAGCAAAAATTAAGTGAATGAAACTTTGGCAAAAATAAATTAGTATAACACAATAGCAATACAAGTTATAGTTGGCAATAATAACTCTTGCAACAGAGTACAGCTGAATAGACAGCCATTTTATGTGTATGTAAAGCGAGGTCATCAACCTGGTAAATGGATGTTCTGAAAATTGTCATAAATGAAGATCATTGCACAAAGGACTTTTACGGTTCCAACATGTTGGTGTACAGTATTGTTGCAGGAGTAACAATTGCCATTAATATTTTTTGCTTTATAACTATTGTACAAGTAATTATCTTTTTGGGACGTGTGTACGCACGGGAGAAACAGACACGACCGCGCGGCGTGGATTCCAAAAATCAACTGGTTTTATTCACTTTCTTTGAAGATTGCGGAGAGCAGCGGAGGGTAGCGCTGCCTGGCGGCTTGGCTTGGCTGCAACCACTATCTCATTTAATGAAAAACATTCCATGGTCTGCAAAGTGCTCATCCCTAAGGTTTTGATAGAGCATCAATCTTTAAAGCAATTTAGTAAGTCTTTACACAATGGAAACTTTTTCAGTAATAAAAGGTATGGATACTGTTGTGTCCATACTAAATATTGAGTAAACTTCAACAAAAAGACTGAACAACTACTGTGACAAAAGCTATCATTAAATTTTACTTTGTCTAATTATCTATCTTCTGATAGCTCGATACCCTAAGTAAGGCAGAACTACTCAAGGGAAAATAGAAGCTTGCAGACATGAAACATTTTTGAACAATGGCGTTGCAACAGCCAATATATCGATAAGAGGACTTGTCTTTGTCAAGGCATAATTCGTCGCCATAACAATACAAGCAAACGGCTCTATGTATGTAGTACCTCATGATAGCAGCCTGTAGCCGGTAGCCTGATATGTACACTTTGCATGCAGCTAATTAAATGTGATAACCGGCTCGCATCGTTGTAGGCATCTGTTGCGCGCCACTGATAAGTCACAATGCACATTGGAAGTGCATTGGGAAGCGGCACATCTGGCGCATGCGCACGGAGTCATTCGCATAAAATTGTTGAATGGCAGGCTAGCTTGAACACACACACACACACACACACACACACACACACACACACACACACACAAGTGAGTAACGTTGGTTGGGAAGAAGTGATTGATAATATTCAAATTTAGCTTGAACTAAACATTCTAGACACACGCACGTCGCGTCATTTGGCTTAAAAGCCATAGAAAAATGCGCTAAGCGATCCTTTCACAACATGACACGGGTGAGCACACATGTTACGGCTGAGAGACACCGCAAAGCACAATCTCAGTCGAATGCCGCTTCTATACAGCAGTAGTATCACAAGGACGCATTGTTAGATGCAAACAGGCCAGAACGACGCAGCCGGCACTGTCGGCCTAACATCGCAAATGGCAGGAAGGCAAGCGCGTCCACTAGTCACGGCCAGATGTCAATCAAGTCGTCATTGTACAAACGCGCCGCGACCGATCAAAGTTTGCGTTGCGCAGTGGCTTATAGCTGCGCACATATGGTGGCTGAATGACGCGCACATACATATAGAGCGCGCGATCCGCTTTCTAAAACTTTGGCGTCGCGGAACAGCATCCGGCGCCAAACAAAAACCTATTACCTTAAACGAGGTGAATCTTGATTAGCGACGATGCGTTATTGTACGCCAAAGAGAAAGCCGTGGGGGAAAACCCACAAACTGTAGACCCCTTAACGTGCCAAGCTACCGAAAGTTTTCCTCTCCGGCCGAAGTAACTTATAAACATGTACTGAATGAAAGCTTTGCATATAGGTAGTAAAGCGAGATGAAAAACAAAATTAAGAAAGGAGGGTACAGTTCAAGGCTGCTCTTGCGGGATGTATGTCTAATCATCCAGTCGTTCCGGCCGATAAGCCCATTCTACGGGGCAACGGAAATGCAATACACCATGACTGCGATACACTGTTGTAAAGGAAGCTTTCGGGGGACGAAGGGCAAGTGGAAAGACTTCAGTCGGCGTATCCAAGGTACCGCCGACACTTGTTGAGTTCCGTAGTTGAACGCGAAGGGTAGGATGAAAGCCACTCACACGAAGTTCTGACAATTATTCACCAGTCTGCACAGAACGTAATTTTCCAGCATATTTACCTGTTTGGGGAGATATAGTTGTGGACACGTGCGGAGGCTGCGTAGTTGTCACATTACTCGTTGTCGGTGATGCAGGGTCCGATGCAAACACAACGGGCGAGACGCAACAGGCGATAAGGAAAAACAAAGCCGCACTCAGAACGTTGCACATTTTCTAAAGCTTGGACGGCACGGTTTCCAGACACGTCCGAACGGTCGCGCTCCTGTTATCGAAACGGGAGCGGCGAAGCGTTCCCGCTGCGAGCGCTTTCAACTGGCTTGCCGTACGCACAATGAGGAAGTTCGAGGCAAGCGGATTCAACACACGAGCGCGGACTGGCACAGCCAGCCAACCCCGGTAACTTGCAGACGCGCGCGATCGCACGCTGCGCCTGCACTCAGCGCGCGATGGGCCAAGCGAAAGATCACGTGACAAAGTTTACGCAGCGCCGTGAGAGTCGGAACCTGTTGACGCACGTCTCGGGGTCACCCACTCATTTTGTGTCGTTTTATTTATGAAAAACTTTATGCAGATGAAAAAGAGAAAAACGTAAAAAATCGCTTACTTATATTTAAGTACACATTAAAGAGCCCCGGTGGAATCAACTTTGCCGTCAGGGAAAGTGAACGCGATCGTTTTCAGCGGTTTCAAGATAGCCTCCTAGATAAATAACTTGCACTCTGAAAACTCTAAAATGCCTCGTTGAAGTCACTGTCTTAGGTTCACCATTATAACGGAGAGTCAGTCGAAGCTCAGTTTATTTTTTTTTTAATTTTTGCGGTCAAATCTTCTTGCTTGACGTCAAAGGTATTAAAGTGCATCTGTCACGTTTTGGCAGCATTGACTGAACGAATTTTTTCATAAATTAGTATTTTAAGTTTATGAAAGTTTATGGCTCCCTCGAAGAACAATGCATTTGGTTTTCACTGATTTGGGACTACGTAGGCCCGTCAAAATTTATGACGTCACAATGACTGGTGCAGAAACTTTACGGTGGTGTCGCCACACGCGTGTTCCTTCCCTCGTTTTTGAGCGCTTTAACGCCTACCAAGCGCCTTTTTGTAGGAAGCGTGGCAGCTTTGGTATCGCGAAAGAGTAATTTTACTTATATGCGAGGAAGATCGTTTTTAGGTAATCTACACCAGCGTATCCAGAGAAGTGAGCCCAACCCCCTAAAATTTTCAATTTTGCTTACAAACGCATGCACGAAACATACATAAAATGTTCAACATCCCCCCCCCCCCCCCCCAAAAAAAAAAAAAAAATCTGGCTGTGCCTTTGATAAACCAATGTAGTTGCACTTCAAGCCATCTTGAACACTCAAGTCTGTGACTACGACTTGATTTAGTATATAGCAAACAAAGAATCAACTTGTACAATGAGCGGCTATACTTGTTACAATAGCAAAAAAGGATATCACGCTATCTATATCTACACCAGAGGATATCACATGCCGCCCAAAGTGGTGGCAGTGTCGAGCAAATTCCGTAACAGTGTTGTGTGCCGTGTACGTGCTTGTTCCTGTCCGACCACACTGAGAGTGGCCTTCACAATATGGACTATGGTCATCTACCCTTGCGAGCATCGGCCAACAAAACGTCCTGGATAATCACTATACGATGTACCACACAGCACAAATTTTTCATTGATATAAATCTTTTTGTTGACTGTAGAACTTTTTTTAGTACGACTATGCACGAAACAACCTTTATGCAACCTTAAACTTTCAGAAAACTAGATTTATTCTCACCAAGGTTGTTTACAGAAAACACGAGGATTCTGGTGTTTTGGTTTCACTTGTGGGGCCTCAAACTCTTGGAAAATGTTATTGGCAACAAGGCTATCAACACTCCTCTGCCTGCATTATTTTTCTTTGTTTCGTCTTAGTTCTCCAACAAGACCGTGTGACAGTCCCTATGCTTCTGAGAAAGCCTGAATATAGCAAGAATCAGTGAGCACCTATTTGCAGACAGTTATCCCAGGACACTGATAAACATCAGAAAGTTTGGTTTTGGCTTGAAATCCTAAATCATCTTAATGTTTGAAATTGCATAAATGTAAATCAGATTAGATGTATTTTTGATTTTATTGATATGTTGGGTTTAACGTCGAAAACTACTACATGATTATGAGAGACGCCGTAGTGGAGGGCTTCGGAAATTTCGACCACCTGGAGTTCTTCAACGTGCACCCAAATCTGAGCACACAGACTTGCAGCATTTTCGCCTTCATCGAAAATGCAGCCGGGACTCGATCCCGCGACCTGCAGGTCAACAGCCGAGTACCTTAGCCCCAGCCGAGTACCTTAGCCACTGGCAACATCAGAGCTGGAAATCTATGTTACTGTCAAGCTTTCAATTATTACTTCGAATTCGTCACGTGGAATATACAACGCCACTACTTGCAATTTGTCAAATCCACGGCTGATTCACTACCACAGTGGCTATCACAGTAGCCATCCATCTAGACTCAACATAACCCAAAAGGAATTAGCCAATGCCCCTAAATTGACAAAAATATGCCATGCTAGCAAACACTAATGCTAATAAACCCCACACCTTTCCTGGATTCACCAAGTGTTGGCTTAGGGTAGTTGTGGAAAAAAAGAACAATTTTTTTTGTTTACAGAAAAAATTCAGCGTTGATTTCGTGAATAATACGAGAGAAATGCATTAGCACTATGTTGGGCGATAGAACGGGTGGCGTAGCCCTCACAGCTCAGTGATCTATGTGCAAAATGAGACAGAAGGAAAACACTACAATCACTACAGCATTGTGCAGACAGCCGAAGCAGATCAACAGATGCCAAGTGAGCGAGCCAAGCCTAGCAAGAGGAAATTTTATGAACCCATTAGTATTCCGAAAATTGTGCCAAGTATTGCTAAGTGCTTGGTTTGTAAAGGCTCTAAGTTCATGTCCAACCATCAGAACATTTGCATGCTTAATATATATTTACTATTTGCCTAAAAATGTCCTGAACCATTTTGCCAAGTAATTAACAATTGACCTATTAAAGTTTATTTCTTCACCAATAAATTACCACAAAAAAGTTTTTCAATTTTCAAACAGAGGTACACAAGAAATTTTTTTTTACATACTTGAAAAGTCTGCCCTCTTCATTTGTTGCTGAGTGTACTGGAAGCTAGTATACCGAGCAGGGGAGTGGTCACAAAGGGAAGAAAAGCTACGTTTGCTCATGTCACCAGTTTGTGAGCACATAATGTGCGCTAGCGCCACTACTTGGTAATTTTTCAATATAGATCATGAAGCCTACCTATACCTAGCACATGGTGGTACCAATGTCAAGAAGCGCATCTGATCCAAATGCCGTTCTTGGTTTATTTAGATCATGAAGCCTATCTATACCTAGCACATGGTGGTACCAATGTCAAGAAGCGCATCTGATCCAAATGCCGTTCTTGGTTTATTTCAGCTATCAGCAATCCCAGTGATAAAAGTGTGATGAAAGATCTGCTGTGCAACAGTATAGTGTACAGATCTCTGTAGGAAAGAGCAGGCTTGAGGATGTGGCAACTTCTTTCTCAGCTTGTGAACTCTCCCTCGTGTGCATGACAGCAAGATTTGAGTGAACTGTTCACAGCAGCATCTGCTTTTTGATGTAGGTGTTTTTTCACCGAGCACGGTGGTTCAGAACCTCTTTAAACGCACACCACACTAAGGTCACCAGTTCTACAAGCACCCAGTTAGACCAGGTCAGCTCGGAAAGATTTTCCATGGAGTCTCTCTGGCCACCCGCCAGAGAGACTCCATGGAAAATCTTTCCGAGCTGACCTTTGGGAACGCATTAAAAGGTATCGTGATGCGACGGCCACTATCCTTCAAGAATCCTTCACAATGAATGTTGAAAAAGGCAATCCCGTTTCGGCATTGTACCTGTGCAGTTACATTCACACAGTTCCCAGAAATACACAACCACACCAGGTGTAACTGCCATAAGAAAGGGGCCATGTATAAACAGACCCTTTTCACACGTGTGGCACAAACTTTTCTGTGAGGCAGTCTGCCCAACAAATGATAGAACAAGTTTTGCAAACAGCTTGCACAAGCATAATTTGCTCCCAAATGAAAAATTTAGACAAGGCTTTCAAGGTGAAACAATGGACAAAGGGCATAAGACACAAGCCCCAGCAGGTACATCTAACACTCCCTTTGTCCTTCTTAAAATGAACGACAGGTACTAAATTAATAAGGTTGAGGGTGTGCATTTTATTTATTATCATGTTGTAAGGCAATCGTACTATTTTTGCTTTTAATGCGGAAGAAATTAGACGAAGGCATTGTTTGCAGTCATACTAGCCAAAAGAAAATTGTAGAAGGAAGAATTTTCTGCACCGAGAGAGTGAACAGCACCGAAGAATTTCATAGCAATTATTGGCAGCATTTAGTCTTCTGAAGTCATGATGATTCACATGAGTCCTTTGGCAAGATAGCCAGTTGTGTAGTTACGAGAGTTCAATCGCTACAGAGCTTGCCATACAAAGTAAGAAATGGTAAAGCAGCTACTTAAATAGGATGACAATAGATCCGTAATATGCACATATACACAAGCAGTTGAAAAACACTGGACAAGCTTTCACACGCCGGATACACACAATGACTTTGCAAGAGGAACAAATAAATACCAGCATGACCGCGCACGAACTCCGCAAAGACATTGCAGTTTTCTCACCCCCCCCCCCCCCCTAAATTTACACAAAGTAGCAGAGCAGTATTTACAAATGTAGGTGTGAGAGTTCACAGCAAAGTAACAAATGCCCATGTTCTTCCTCAACTGGCATCGCTTTTCGAAAACATGCTAGTGGCCGATAGTGACACAGAAGGAAGGAAGAAAAAAAACACTATACTACAATATGTCTACACTCAGTTTCAGACGGAACTGAAGGCTTGGTCACACGAATATACAATGTGCTGTCAACCGCGCACTGTCTGTCAACAGCACGGTTCCACGTCACCGGAACAGTGTCAATCGATGCACTGCATTCAAGTCTTTCATGAGGCCTTTGAGTGATAACTTCAGCCGCATGATGTCCTCTTCTTCTGTTATGTTTGGATCTGTGCCACTGCTGATGTAGCTCTCACGTTCAAGCACTGTTCACAAAAGAAGAGAGAAAAGATTGAGCCAGGTCATTTAGATACAAATAACACTGCACAAACAAAGTGGTAACCAATAGTGTCAAAGATGTGATGGCACAAACGTGAAAAAATGCTGTCCATTTCATTTCCTTCAAGGCACAATGCAAAATATAAAGCATTCTATTTTATGAAGGTTAGGTGCCCAGCAGAGCTCACAGGTGCACCTAGGGTCTCAGCACGCTGCTTTCCGGGCGTTCTCACAATGTGCAGTCAACCTACACTTCAGTCGACTGAGTCAAGTGACGTGGAGAAACATGTACTGTACAGATGGTTTTTTTTGTCCATTAGCTTCTTTCACCTACTGCTCTAAGAGGCTTCTTTTTTTTTTTTTTTTTGCAACACACATGTACAGACGTGTTTTCCCCTCCCTCTCTCTGATGCACTATTTGTCCCACACACCACCAAGGGGTTCTACTTGGTTGCATCAAGGTACACCACTGCCAGGTGTGTTTTGTACGCCTGCAGATGGACACCGCAAAAATCAAGGAGGCGTGCCTTTCGTTACAGCTTTGCTGCAATACAGCTTGTTCCTACAAACAGTAAAGTTGGCATAGCACTAGTACGTGATTGACCTCAGCTTGATTTTCCATGTAGAAGTGCATCATGTCTGTCATGTGTTTAAACACCACCATTATATTAATGGGTAGCATTCTTTGCTAAGGTGTAGTGACACCCATTTCAATCGTGTGGGTAATACCCGTGCCACACGGGCAGAGAAAATGGCATTTACCTCCTAATGCCTTCTGATTGAATGTCATTCGCGCGCTGCCACACGGATGAACGAAATGGCATTTGCCCAAATGCTATTCCTCACCTAATGCCATCGCCAGAACTCATTCGACCGAGAAATGAGTACTCTCGACGGCACAGCTGATGAAGTAATTGTATAAAACGACATTTGATTCGAGTAAATGGAAACTTTTTGCATATTTTATTTACACTAATCACCTAAACAAGTGCCTGAAAACTTCTCTTCGGTTGGTAGACGCTGTAAAATAAATGCGACATGCACCATTTTCTTTTTATGCTGCGGATCTGACTAGCTTTGGCTTAAGTGCTACATGGTTGGTTGCAACGTCGTGAAACAAAGTAACGAACGAAATATAACGGCAGCATAATATGCTTATTTATACATTTATTTATGATCTGATGTGTATGAAGCTTGTAAACGCTTGTTTATTTTTTTATTGCTACTCGCCTAATGCTCACGAGGAAGGCGCTGCGATTCACATCATCAAGTCAATGTCATTCGCTTTGGACATGTAGCAGCGCCGCCAAAAAAAAAAAGTCATTCGGGAACTGAATGCCTTCGCTACCGAATGTAATTTTCTATGCCCATGTGGCACGTGTATAAGTGCTCATGGGATAAAAATAAATGCACATCTATGCCTAGTCAGCATTACACTTCTAGGCAAGGGTAAACACTGTTTGCTCAAGATTAGCGGTCACCACCTTTCATCTGCCGTGTGTGTCATACTTTTTTTAGCCAGCAAAAAAAAAAAAAAAAAAAAAAAAAAAAAAAAAACAATTATATTGTGTATTAGAGTGCCAGAGAACTAACACTGCTAGTTCCAGGAAAGTTTATCCAGCCAATGCAGCAAAATATGAAAAATACATTTCAAAACCTGAGAAAGGGTTCAGGTACTGGATTTGTAGTGCAAAATAAAGTAAAAGTGAACTCTGACCTTCACTTCCCTTTTTAATAATGAACTTATCATGATGAAATTAATGATAATGAAGTTGTCAAAAAGATAACTTAGCCTAAAATCAATTAGGACACCATTTTAGTGTCTCTCTTCGAATATCTATAGGCTCACCTCGAAGCTGCTCTTCCAAGGCATTCATCCTCTCTTCCAATTGGTCCTCCAGATCAAGGACATGATGTAACAAATTTATTTTGCAGCTTTCGACATCCAGGTTCTCAACCTGTCTGCCATTGGCCTGCTTCCCTGCACTGCTGCTTTTTGTCGGTGAAGAACTGGGTGCTGCCAGAGTCGAAATTCCGCTGCCCTTGATGTCTTCATCAGCGTTCAGGGAAGCGACTTCCTCTTCACAACCCACTACATCTAATTCCTCCCCTTTGTTGACCACCTCTTCGACACAGCCGACTTCAAAAGCCTCCATGGCCATGTCCTGCACAAGTGATTTTGCATTCGATCTCTGTCAGAACGTGGCTTCAACCCTCACATACTCCCATTACTAATAGCTTCTAAGAATAAAACTGACAGCCAGGATAGTTGAAACAGAGACATTAGGTCATCTTAAGTGCTGAATGATAAAATAAAATAAACACTAATGAACGAAAACTCGCAGAATAAAAAAAAGCCAGTTCACCAGCAATCGTTTTGACTAATTGCTTCTATTTTATCACCTTGTCTTTCCCGCTTCAGCTAAGCGCGTAAGTTGGATAAGTAAAACTGCTTCCCGATGTTTTTTAAGTACATATGCACAATGAAAAAGGAAAAAGTAAAAGGACTTCGAACTTATAAAAATGATTGAGCTGTCATTGTTTCATAATGCAGTTGTATGCTTTTCACTTCAACACACACAGGCATGCAAGAACAGTGCTCTAACGAGTGGGCCCCGCTCATCAAGTTATCATGACAAGCTTGCTCTTCTCCAACACTTGGGAGATTGCCAAGCACCTCTGTTACTTGGTCGCTATGCAAAGCAAATGAGGAGAGAGTGCACCCCGGTGGTGAAGTTCAGGTCCTCAAGTCGTGGCAGCAGGACAGTCAAGTTTATTCTGACATGTCCAATAATTAAATGTTGTGAAACATTATATCAGTTAAGTTCTCCCCAGACGCGACTTTACAACTGTAGATTGACTTGCCCGACTAGGTTCACCCCCCGACATAAAATTGCACATACATACTGAGCTCCGATTGCTGGTAAGCACTTGAGTGGGGCAGCATGCAAAAGCCGATGCCTGCATGCCTAGTCTCTGAGCTTAGCCTGTCAGTGTCAGTTAAATGTGTTGATAACAGACAGCAGCAACAAAACCAAGATGTTGTTCATGTCAATTCAGCATGCCACACAAACATTTCATAACTTAAAGATACAATTGTCCATGAGAAATATGTGAACACTTTTGTTTGTTTACAATGCCCAAATGATGGTAAGATGCCCTTTAAACAAAATGCACCCCACAGAACATAATCCTAATAAGTAAACCACACTCAACTAAACATTTATCTGTAAAAGTGAGTAGATGAGCTGTGCTAAACAAAAACTACAGCATATCGACAGAGTGAACGATGATGATTGGGACGAAGCTTCATGAGCTCTCAGCTAAACTCAGCCGTTTTTGTCTGTTCGCCATCTTATCAAACTAAACCACACGCAACGTAGAGTGCCTCGATGCGAGCACCCCCTCTAGAGTGGTGTCAGGTTTTGCAAGGGCAGATGCCGCCGCCTCGGCTTTGGCGTCAGTGCAACCGCCATTTTGACGCTAACGGCCGATAGTTCTTGCTTGGCGTGTGTGGTGGTGGTCGGCAGTGTCCATTCCATTCTATGCACCCATCTCCGCATCACTATGCCCGGCTGCTGCTGCGTGCCGCAGTGCTCGAATCACTCGGGAAGCGGATGGAAGCTGTACTGGTTTCCGAGAGACCCAAAATAAAGGCTTCTTTAGACCACTAAAATCAAAAGAGACAAGTGGCAACCGACCGATGCGTCGTACGTATGCAGCGTACGTAAATATTTTTTTGTTTTGGAGTGCTTCGTAGTCTGACTGGTCAACACTATTTAAGGTGCCGTTGTTTTTATTTAGGTGCACAATGTAAACGCAGGACAGCCAAATGTTGTGCAGGGTACTGTGCGGCGTGCTCGTGTTAAAAAGACCACGCTTAAAGAAAACGCGTCAAGTACGGGGGCTTCGCAAGCCCCCGTGTCGATGACATTTCATGCTGGTTCAAGCGCCTCGAGTATGCTTCAGAGGAATCGCGACTAGTTTCAGTGCCCAAGTTGGCAGCAGCGTTGTGAAATCCCCCCCTTTCTTTACCCGAGGTTGTTGACTCCGTGCACTGCGCTTCGCAGCTACTGTGCTGGCGAGACTGGCTGCCGCTGTCGTGACCGTTCACCCCGCGGCCGAAGGCAGACTTCGTTAACTTACCGTACTCGTGCGCCAAGTCACCCCGACAACGTACGCGTCGACCGTGTGCTGGCGGAGTTGAGCAGGAAGAAAAGTAGGCAAGAGATGAGGACGCAGGAGGTGTAGTTAAACAGGCGAGAATTTAGAAAGTGGAGGGGGAAGAAAATTATATGCAAGGGCAGAAAACGGGGAGCGAGTTCGGCCCGCGTGCCGGCGAGCGAGTATGGAAATCTCACAGCACCTGATTGCTGCCGAGCTTCAAGAGTACGGCACGCAGAGTTAACGTAATTCACATAAGAGGAAATTGAAGGAGAAATGCGCACATATGGCCTCGCAGGGAGTTAACATAGGCTCGTGTGCGTGGTGGAGGGATTTAACAACGCTTATGAGGCGCCTGCGCATGTTTATTCGTGCACACGTTCGCATTGATGAGTCGAAATTTGAACGTCTTTTGTGAAATCGCACCGCTTGAACATAAACATGCCATTCCTGCAAAAAATTCGTAGTTCGCTAGTTCCTAGTTCCTGCTAATTTGCTAGTTCCAGCTGCGAATCATACTGCACACATTCGTGAAAATCTAGTTTATTGACAGTGACAGACGTTCGTTATTTTTTTGCCAGTGTGTTAATCTCAAATTCTGATTTTATTTGCAGGCTCACTTTGAAGAAAGCAACTACGAGCAACACCGTGCAGATGGCTGGAAAAAAATAAAACAAAATGCAGTCCCAAGTTTGTTCCAATTCAAACTTAAGTTTGAACTTTTTTCTTGCATTACATAAAGCAGCACCGATTGCAGGTACTTTCTGTACCTGCGACTTGTACGAAGCTAACACCAAATAGGTCCTCATATGCTGCGTCCACATTAAGGCATAAATTGTGGACAGTCACGGACAAAGCTAGGAAATGCGAACACAAAGATGTGAACCAGACCACGCAAAATTGAAAAATTCTACTAATATTAGAAGGTAAATTATTGGCACACTATTAGTGCATTTGGAAAGCTACATTTCCCAACGTTGTTTTTGTGGTTACGCCACGCATCGTTTTCACTTGCATGTAAAGAAATTGTGCTATTTGAGTGTTGTGGTTTATATTTCTTGTAATCATGAATGGACTGCATAGACTGCATGAAATAATCAATAGACTGCATAGGGAGCGTACTTTGACTTGAGCCCTCTACAATGGCGCACATGTGTAGCTCTGGCATATGAAGCTTAAATTCGAATTAGAGGTATTTATTGTGGGGAAAAATTTTTAGGACAGTTTAAATATAATATTTTAAGACCTTCCCGATCCCTTGTAGAAAGGGCGGGGGAAGGACAATCATCTTCCTCACATCAATAACCAACCCGGTACCTGCTGCATGTGTTACATTTGCAAAATAACAAGCTAGACATGAACTGGCATTGCTTGAATATGTTCATTAGACAGGAGAAGTGCACGAGTTTTCTGATTTTGCACGTTCATGCACCCCCCTCCAAATCTAATCTTCGAGAGTCGGAATAGTGCTCTCTGATAAGTGTCGGGTCAAGAACGCGAGGGACCCAAGTTCGATTTTGATTGCTGTAAGCGTTTTTTTTTCTTCTTACACTTCATGAACGATCATTCAAGTCGTCAGAGAAAGTTGGCTTTCCTACAGGGCGCGACATACGCCATCAGTAAGACGTAACAACCTTCGCTTAATTAATGTAGCACTTATCTTTTCCTAAATGGATATTTGCACGGTACTATGCCTCGGCACCTCACCTCTGGGCATGGGGACCTATTTCAGAGTACAATAGGTATGAAGCCATTTATAATAAATTAGTAAATTGCTTGTAAACAGCAAAATAAGCCCTCAGAGCTGCACTTAGGTAACTTTGCAACAGTGAAATCTTTGTTGAGATACATAGGCTGCTGTTGACATGTATATAAAGGCTTTAAACGATCCTTAGTGCACTTGAAATTAAGACTGCCCCAAGAAAATAGGTACTTGTTTAAACGTATCGAAAATCTTTTTCCGCCCCAGCAAATAGCATGCGTTTTTAAAATAATGAAGAGTCTGCCAGCTTCTGGCGCTTTACACAAGCACAGGCCGCCAGTTTATATGACGTGCGTTGTTCCATTTAACATTTACAACACTAAAAGGTGACCAGGTTTCACACACACACAAAAAAAACACACACATGCTTGCCAACGTCTATTTCTTTCCTTCCATATGTGAGCACCGGAAGTGGTAGTGCGCTGCCCCGCTACGGCAAGAGTCGTAATGGCGGGGCTGTTGTAGCAGACGACTCGGCTCTCCTCACCCTCAGTGGAGCGCGCTGGCATCAAGGCACCCTAACCTGCACCTTCACGCCATCTAGTGATTACTTCACGTACTGCAACACGGCAGTGCTATCACGTAAACACTGTGAGAAGTAAGAGGCGGCTACTACAACTGAGTACGGAGGATGGAATGACCCATGGTGTAAGGAGCTTCGCCCCTAAAACACGAAATGCGTTAATCACAAGCAGGCACATGAATGCAAGCTCTTGCTCCCTCCTTCTTACCTGTAGCAGAAGATCACCTGCGCTGCTGTCACCGCCAGTGCTGATAATGACATCCGGAGCTTCTTGAGTCAGCTCTGTGGTGGCCGTGTTTTTTTCAGGTGCAAAGTAAGCATGGTCATAAGTGGACAGGTGCATGTGCCCACCTGGCCTTAGCTCATCCTTTTCAGGGCTATTTGGTATGGCATTGTGCTTTTCGAGGACATCAACTACCTCTCTGACAACACTTCTTTTCACCCATGGCGTAGTGAAGTACTTCAAGTCAGGATGGCTCTTTTCACTGAAAGATAAAATAAGTCAATGCATAAGCTAGTGCCTCTCTTTGCGACGCAGCACTGAGAACAAAAGAAACATGTCGTCAACTGAAGCAATGACAACTTTTACAGTGCCTTTATAAAACTTTAAATTGTAGTGATTCGCACAAAACAGAAAAAGGGCAGCAAGTTTTCACTCAGTATAGAAAGACGCCTTTACACAGTGGAAAACAGAGAGAAAGAGGGAGAAAGAGAGTTAAAAAAGGGAAGCACACAATACATTTTTTTTCCTACATAAAGCATAACACCTCATCAAATGACTAAAAGCACTACATAAAACTGCCTTGTTACCTCGCCACGTTGATCTTATGGTTGATGCTATGGAGCACAGCCCGGACATTGTGCACAGAGCCCATGAGGTCGTGAGAGGCCTTCATATATTCCGGATTAGGTAGGTTAGCGGGCCTCTCTTTCAGAAAGCCGAAAGAGGCCAGCTTGCCATGACGGAACCAGTCCGGGTCCAGCTTTGACCGAGAAGTTTCTTGCGTGCCAGCTGTAATGGTCCACAGAGAAAGAAAAATAAGTGGGGTGAGACGTTTCCTAGTGTGCTTTTTGTTCGCAGTGCAAAGGAGCATGAGCTCTTGTAACTCGTAAATGTTTGAGTGCTGCACACAACATCTGTAATAAATTTTTTGAGCTGAACAAAGTTTAAAAAGTTCCTTGTGCATGTACCACATTTTTCTATCTTCTCATCCATTCCACGAAAACATGGAGACATTGCAACACTGGTCTAGCTACGTCCCAAGCTTATGTTTATAGAACACTTAGCATTAGTTTAAAAATGCGGTTAGATGTCAACAAAGTCACATCTCCTAAGCAGAACTTCTGAAGATGGCCATGTTTAGCAAGTGATTATTGTTCTCAGGAAGCGATGCCATGTACATTGGTGTTTCAGTTAACAGCAATGTCCACTGATGCGCAAACTTTAACCACTCTGTTCAGCATTATATAAGCTCCACTATATTACTGGAATGAAAATACGCTTTCAGATCTGACTCTCCCCACAGGTTCACTTTCAGAAGTGCAATTACAGCAATGTTATATGCAGCCAATGATTTAACAACTATCCTATTCTGTACCCGCTACAGTGGCCAAGTGGTTTGAAGCTTGACTACTTGAAACGAAATCGTGGAATCAAGTCCCGACTACCGCAAATGCATTTCAATAAAGGCAAAATAATGGAGGCTTATGTGTTTAGATTTAGGGGCACGATAAAGAAGCCCAAGTGGTCGCAGTTGCCAGAGCACTCCACACAGTGTCTCTAATTATTATATTGTAGTGTTGAAATGTAAAACATTAACAATTAATTATCTTTCTACGTCCTATCCTGCTAGGCACACTTCATCGCCAATCACTAACATCATCTTCAAGCACCACAGCAAGACCAATCTTGCAAGTTCCCCGTACCACCACTGCCCAGAAATGATGTAAGCAGTAATTTAATTCCTGGATTTCTCTGCGCAACCAAGACAATTAATTATGGGGAAAGGCAATGCTGGCAATTGCTGAGTTCTTTTTAACTAGCATCTAAATACAAGTACACTGATATTTAGAGAGAAAAAGAGAAGCAATCTGCGTTAATAAGCAAAAAAGGAACCATGAAAACAACTTTAGGAGCAGTGGGCAAGCCTGAAGATGATGCACTGACCAGCATGCGGCAAGCAAGCCTTCAAGCTATAACATGCAAAAGGCGTCAGTATAATAGCACTCAAAGGAAGCCCGTGTAAAAAGCATCAAAGAAATTAAACACCTGAGACAAGTTCTTGGTTGCACTCCGTTGCGGTCTGCAAGTCCGTATTATCTAAAAATGAGAATCACAAAGGTTTTAGGCAATTTAGAAAGAAGTGCACGGACTTCTCATTTGCTCCAATCAAGAAGCGTGAAACGGGCCATCCTCAACACTTCAACGCTGTAATACTGTGAACATAAGCAGGTCACAGTAGTGACCTGTGCAGAGCTCACGATGAACTGACAGATACGTGCCCTCAATATGAGAATAAGAAAAGTCACATGAGCAGAAATAAGACTGACTGAATACTGAATAACAAAAACTTGGGTGTGTCATGAGTTGGCTACTTTTGTAACCCAAATGAACTTATACATATTACTATACAGCCACATACTCAATCTAATCAAATTCATATATTGCACATATATACGAAAGCAGTCTTGTTTCCTCAGCGAGCACCACTAGACTATACTTGTGGGGTTTTGATTCTGTACCTACTTCTAGCAAAAACTATGCCGATAAGCCATGAATTCTCGCTGAAGAAATTATGTAGGGAGCGTCAGTTTAATAGCACTCAAATAAATCATGGCAAGTGGAGCCATTGATAAAGCCTGAACATAGGGAGAAAACCCCATGTTGTTGCATCAATTCTGTTAAATAAATTATGGTTGAGTACTCAGTAGACACCAAATACATTTGACAGAATGTCATGCGAAACGAAGTAAAAAGTGCATAAGGAAAAAAATGTGAATGAATATATACAAGGCATTCATGCTTTCCTACCTCACATTCTTAAGATACGAACTTTGCGAAAAACGATCTGAAATTAATCTAGCAAACTTTAACTTCACCTGCAAGTACTTAGTGCCACTAAAGTGTTCAAGTCAAGAAAAATAATTTGAATCCATGGGGATAGGTTAAACGTTTTCTTTGGACCAACTCCGTGGCTGCCACACTGTAATAAACACTCTATGGCACTTAGCTTTGGCATAATTTCACATATTCAAGGCCTGTAGAAGGTGTGGCAGCAGCCAAAATTTCTGTAGTAAATGCCACAACGGAAATAAAACCAGCTATAGAGTAACATTAACAGTGCACTGGCATGGGAAGCAAGTAATAGACACCTCATAATAAAGAGAAGTTGTGAAAACGAGCAACAAAGTTGTGCAACTTTGCCAGAGCTGTGCGCAAAAAGAATGCCCCACGTGCTAGGCAGTTCTATGCCTTGTTAACATGGTCAATAAGCGAGAGCTTTACATGCATGCAGTGGCAAACATACTACAAGAAAAGGCACAAGCACGCACTAATAAGCAGTCTTTTTCATGCACGCCCGTTCTTACCTTTGGGCACAATGCACATGTAACAGATGTACTTGTCCGGGACATCCTTCTCTTCCTCAATCTGGAAGCACGCTCCGTGCTGCCATGTGAGGCAGACTTCGCACTGTCAAGACAGACAGGAACCAGCAACACTGAATTCTTCGTATTCACAATACACTCGTTGCAGGATAACAGAAGAAAAAGAGAAGCGACAGCTGCTGTGAGGTCGGCGACTAGTGACAATATTGGTGAGCAGAGAAATTCAATGCGATCAAGCATACCTGAATGACAAAGAACAAAGAGCCTGACGATCGCTCAGTAAAACACATATGAATAAGGGGAGAGGTGCCCGCGAATGTACAGGACCCATGGAGGACTAGACAGAATTGATACCTGCATCATGAGGCCACTCTCTTCTTCACAATTGCACGCGCACATTACAACTTCGTCGCTTTTGACCTCCAAAGATGTGTCAGCAGAGTCGATTGCAGGCGTGCTCTCGGGTCCGTGGCCCGCACTTTCCTTGGCTGTGTAAAAGTAAGCGCAGGCAATGTTATTTACCCATAAAAATGCACTGTGATAGCTAATACTATACATCTATACTAGTAAACATGGCATACAGACAACACGTTTGCAGGCACACAAATACCGTATTTACTCGATTCTACCGCGCCCTCGATTGTAACGCGCACCCGATTTCCACCGCGAAAAAAAAAAAAAAAAACGTAAGACATCGATTGCAACGCGCACCCATTTTTCTCGCTGGCCTGCACGATCACACCACTCGAAAAAAAAAAAAAAAAAAAAAAAAAAACACGACTTCTTTCGGGAGCGTCTTCAATTTAAATATGAGGTACGGGCGAAGCTTGTGCCCATCTGACGTGTAACAGAGCATTGCCGTCACTGTAGTTTTACCGTGGACCGATGTCAGCACGCGAACTTGCTTCGCCCCCTTCTTCTCGACGGTTGTGGTGCCAGGCATGTCGAAGTAAAGAGGCGTCTGATCGGCATTCCCAATTTGCCCAAGCATGTAGCCGTTGTTGCGCCGCAAGTTTAGAACGAACCTCTGAAAACTGTGAAGCTTTTCATCGTACTCCTCCGCAAAACTTTTCGCATATGCATGTACCCCTTCGGAGGGAAAAGCCTTTCCTCTTCATAAAGTTAGTTAGCCAGCACCTGCTCGCTTTAAACTGGCTCCGCATTAGACCTTTTTCTAAGACCAATTGCATAGCCCGCACTTGGAGCAGTTCTGTCGTCACGGGCCGCTGTGCCGCTCGCTGCTCAAGCACATACTCGCCAAGCAGCTCTTTAATTTGCGGAAACCGACCCTGCTGTGGTCCACTGAAGCCTTTGCGTGAAGCTTTGCTGTCGACAATCTTCTGCTTTTGTTTCCGCCGGTCCCGCACGCACGTTTCGGGAACTCCGAACGACCGCGATGCGGCCCGATTTCCGTCCGTTTCTGCACACGCGATGACTTTTCTTTTAAAAGCGGCATCGTGGTGCACTCGAGTTTTTGGAGTCGGCCCTTCCACGCCGTCGATGCTAATGCACTACTAGATGAACTCCTCAGCACACGTACGAAGTGCCGCACATGGGAAACACATAGGCAGAAATGGCCGACGCACATAGGGGGCGGCCATTTTGAATTTGCTGATGGCAATAGATTGACCGTAATTTTTTTGTTCGTACTCGATTCTAACGCGCATGCGATTTATGAACTGGCTTAACCGGAAAAAAGGTGCGCGGTAGATTCGAGTAATTACGGTACTGCTAAGCAATCCAACTTGTAAAGTCGAGCCATTCAGGAACAGAACAGCAAAAATAGAAAAAATACAACTCAGCGTGGACTTTTGAAATATCCTTCCAGGAGCATTGTAGTGCTCGTTTCATGCCACAAAAATGATCAGTTTGAAAGAAAATTACGCTTTAGAGTACTACATTATGCTAGCCCAATTCTTAAAATCACCTGCCTCTCAAGGAATCGTAACCTAAGAATTCCCCAATGCTGCTTTCAGTGGACTCTATGCCAGCACCTTTCGTTAACCGTCAACATAAAGTCTCCCCCGGAAACGCATGCAAGAATATTTCCCGTTATGCTTGATTAGCTGTCCGCTGCTGCTTGCTTGCATTGCAACACAATGTTTTTTGTGGAAGCACTTGATACTCATAGAAGCACTGGAAAGCTGCATGTGATTCGGATGTCAGTGCGGGAATACACAATGTGCATGTTTGTATTTGTGCCAGCGCTGTTTGGCGAGCATCTGCTTATGCTGCTAGTGCACTGTGCTGCTAATATGCAACATGATCAACCCACATTCACTTGTGTGATCCATCTTAGACCAATGTTCAGCCCCTCTGAGGAGTCATGGAGCAGGCGCCCGTGGACTTGACATTAAGGCGCGGAGAGGGGTGGCTCACAAAAACAGCCCCGAGAATGCAACTATGATGGCAGAAACTAACACTGACATGCGACCACCTGGGCGGAGCACATTCTGTGAAGACATAACTTTAGACCCCCCCCCCTCACCATGCTGTTTGCCATGGTAACTCTGAAACAAGTTCTTTTTTCCTCTAATCAAAGAGAATTGCACAAGCAGCATTTAGTATGTCATGTAATGCACTGAAATGTTATATTTTATCAGAAGTACTTTGAGTACTAGTGATTATTTGTACTTGGGACTCTTGATGTCATCGACATCATTTCAAAATGTCTCACTAGTGGTGCATACCATGTTCTAACTTCACCTTAATTTCTCTATTAGTAGAGCACTGCCATTTGAAATACTGACTGTTTTAGACACATTACCAAACACACCTTTCACTCTGATGTAAATAGTTATTTGCCTTCGATGCCCTTACTATTTCCATTGACGTATCCAGTATCTCCCATTAGGCTTATTTTTTAATACTCTGAGAAAGATATCAATGTGGTCGTGGAGCCTTGGTGCACCGTCCTTACTAAGAATTGTCTCAAAAGCTGTATGGACAATGGACACATTAGCCATCGGAAGGAACACAGATCATGTCAGATGCACATGTACACACGTTCATGGATCCGAAAGCCAAGCACTATCTCGCCAAATTTCAAGTTTTGTTAAGACAGTTCTGAGCTTTGTCTGGACATAAGCTAAAGCCCACAAATTAGTGTGCGCTTGTAAGAGTAACAGGCTGCTTGCTGACGAAGCTGAAAGGGTGATTTAATGACTGTAACCCACCTGTATGCATTACCTAGGAATTGATTAGCAATTAGCCACTTGGGTGGAAAGTTTCCATCAAGGCTATGCCTGCCTACGATTGTTAGACTTAATCAGCACTGCTTCGTAAGGCATTGGCAACTGAAGCTGCAGTATTGTGCTGAATCGAACTAATTGGCAACAATTTGCATAAGCACCAACTAAATGCTATACCATTATGATCTTACATAATAAATTAAGCTACTTAGGTAGTTTACGGCACTGAAATTTCTTACTTACTATTCTGATTTTTCGCAACTGTGTTTTTAAGTTTCCAGAAGCTTGAGCTAAAGCCTGTGCAAGAAGCTGGCAGTACACTATATATTAGTACAAAGGATCAATCAGCATAGCCTTTTTTTTTTTACTGATAACGAATTGAATTGTCAAGCTACTGGCAGCAGCAAAAAATGCTCACCTGTCTCAGAGGTCTTTGCCTTACGGCCACTCTCTTCCTTGACGGAGGTGCGCTTGCTCCCATCATCAGACTTGTCGCTGCGTGTGCTCGAAGTGCGCTTACGCTTACGGTCGCTCGCAGATCCAGCCGACGTCCTGCGACTGGCTGCAGCCTCCATGTCTGCTATCAGTGCTTTCTCTGTCTTGGCAATCTTGCGCTTCTCCCGGCCTTCGACCAGTGTCGTGAAGTGAGGTATGAAGCGCATGCGCCTTGGCTTGGCGAGTGGGACTGTTGCTGCGGTGGGGGTCGATGTGGCTGTAGCGGGAACCACTGTTGCTGCTGCTGCTTCCTGTGACGCCTCAGTGGCTGATGGAGGTGTCAGAAGAGCTTTTAGGGAATGCACCAGTGCAGAGGTCTGCTCTGGTACAGTCTGCAGTACAGGCTGCTGCTGCTGCTCAGAGGTTGGTGCACCTGGAAGAGAGAAGTGCAAATTTAAGCTGGCAGTGCAGGTTCAAGCAAATGTGATTCAAAAGTATACTGCTGCTGCTGCTCAGAGGTTGGTGCCCCTGGAAGAGAGAAGTGCAAATTTAAGCTGGCAGTGCGGGTTCAAGCAAACATGATTAAAAGCATAAAGCATTATGCTACCTTCGCCATCACTGACAAAGTGTGAATAATGGTGCTTTATATGTGAGCACAAAATGTATAACACAATGCGAAAAACCACTTTTACTCTAGCTGATCTTGAACTATGGCAACGACGGCACAATAGTGCGCCCCAGGGCAGTGTAGCTGTTTTAATCGTGCAGATTGTACAGAAATTCGGCTGTTTTGATTGTGACCATCAATCCTTGTAAAGATTGACCTTTATATAACTATGCCTGCATTACATAGTGGTTGCGGTCATGATATGACTCGACTGTCCTTGCTTTGAATCAAATGTCAGAATCACTATCGTGAAAACTAGAATATAATACATCGGCTTCAGGGGTGGGCTCTTAATTTATATACTCGTCGTTGACAATAACACTTCTGGAAATTTAAAACATACGGGCAAGTGAAGTCAACCACCTTCATTGTCGCCATCTTGACTACTATCAGTCTTATGCCATTGGTAGCCCAATATCGTGCTTTTATTATTGTCTTGTGAATCTATTTGGGCCCTGGTCTGCATTATTAGGGGGGAAGCTCCTCTTAGTCTAACCTTGTCACGTGTAACCGGCCAGACGGACAAACAGACAGACGGATGGATAGACAGACACACGGACGGATGGATGGACACTTTGCCCCACTCATCATCATTCACCCCGTGGATATGCTGCGATTTTGTTTCCTAGATTTCAGCAAAAATAAGTGGTGGCCAAGAAAGTTCAATGTAGTGTTCAAGAAAACAGAGACTGAGTTTGTGGAGGAATGTAGGAATCTGGTAGCAAACTGAGTTTGGAGTGTGTGAGGGAAGTGTTGGGGTAATATCACATTAATGTGACTAAGAGCTGCAAGTCTCAGCGGGGGCGCACTCGCCGCTCTATCTCACCAGATACTCTTTGTTGCTTTCTGCAATGAGATGCTGGTGACCCTGGTTACAGTGGCCCGTGTGGCTACAATCAGGGACAACAAAATGAACCACAGAAGCATTAGTTAACTGGCAGATGCAGAAAGATTGTATTATGACATGCATAAATCAAAAGAAAACTTTATTTCAGGGTCCCACCATAGCAGTACGAAAGTAGTGAACTTATTTTTGGAGCCTACGTTTATGATTGTTAATAATATCATCATCATCAGCCTGACTACGTCCACTGCAGGCTGATGATAATAACATAGTACATCTCAATTAAAGCTGCTGAGATAGCCTTACTTTAGGGCTTAGAAGCACACATCTCGAAAGCTCCCTATCATGACTGCATCAATTAAAAAAGATAACGCTTGGGCATATCTTTTGGCCTGCTAGCATATAAAACTAGAGCGTACCTACATGTATAAATAAGGGGCATTGTCACTGTGCAGAATTCCAAACCACATATGTTTCACGGTAAAGGTACTTTCTGGTACATTGGCCATTACATGTGCTTTTTTCTTTCTTTCAATATTAAGCGTATTTTATGCTGGGGTCGACCTATCTGACATATTCGACCGATATAGGACCTATAGGATAGGTACCTTTGCTAGAGGGTGTTTACTTTAAAGGCAAAATAAGTTATTAGCACTATATATTAAAATTTTTTTTTGATTTTCTACGAAAATATCAAGCCTCAGACACCTTCAAAGAAAACCACTCTTGGCAAATTACCTGTTCCAGTTGGTTCTTCCAATACTCCAGGAACACTAGCCATGTCAGCACATGCAGATGATTTGACAATGTGTGGTCCATTTGCCTCCTGCTGACCGAGACCCTCCCCCAGCTCTTCGAGTGTAGCCTCAGGCACAGAAGTCGATAAAGGATGCTCCGACTTGATTTTTGCTATCTCTTGATCCAACTCGACCGCTTCACAGGGGACAGGCAGAGGCCGTTCTGGAGTCGCACCTGGTTGGGTACGATCAGGCGTTGTCGCCAACGCGGGCTTTCTTTCGTGGTAATGCTTGAGGTGCGATGCCAGGAGGGGTTCCTTGCGGAAACTCTTGTTGCAACCCTCAATGTGACACTTGAAGTGGTTGTGATCCTCTTCGATAATAAACTCCTTGGGGGCAACTGTGTGGAAAACATCGAGGTGAGACGTCTGATTTCTGGAAGAATGCAAATTTCAAAGGTCCAAGAAGGGAAGGACCCCTGGACATTTTTTTCCACAGCAACCACATAAACACAAGCAGCACTTACACAGACACACATACTCAATAAAGCTACATTCACAAAGTTTCACTCAAAAGAGCCCTGCAACAGTTCTCTAAGTAATAATAAAAATACATCACTACTGGACTGTGCTGGTTCACGAATCTGCTGCCACAAATATTTACTGAATCTGTGAAGTGCAACAGATTTTTAGATCGAACAAGGCATGCACTTTTTTTCTCTCTTTGCGAGAGCATGATGAAAGCTACCCAAGGAGCTCGTAGCAAGAAGCGTGGTCTCATCAAAAAAAGTAGTGTGGCCACGCAGCATGGCCTCAAATTCAGCTTTTATTTTATTTTTTCCTCAGCTTTTAATTTTATTGCGAAGATGTTTACAGCCCACATGTCCCGAGAACAGGCAATCTAGGCTGGCTTGTGACTTTATGCAGACAAAACGGACAACAAAAAAAAACAGAGAGAACATAAATGGCGAATTCCACTCCTTGAGCAGGAGCAAGTTTTCTTGCTCCAAAGCAGACAATGCTTGCAGACAAAGCAGACAAAGCAGACAATGCAGACGCGTTTCGCTGGTAGATTCAGAGCAAGTTCGCATTTTCCACTGGTAGATTCGGAGCAGTCCACTCCGCGACGGAGTGCTCCGTGTTCTCTGTCTTGCAGAGACGGATTTTGCCGGAACGCCGAGAATGCGTTGCCGTCATTTCTGGTACAGTTGGGCAGCTGGGTTGCCCTTTAGCGTTTTTTGAGGTGGTCTAGTAACCCTGTGCTCTTGTTTACATTCCTAAAATTGGAAAGGGGTAGACCTGCTCTCCGCGAGACTGCGTGGTCAAAATGCATGCTTTGCAGTGGCTGACACAGTTGTCATTGAAACGTCGAGAGCAGAAAAGAAAATTGTTTCCGGTACCAATATAGCAACGTATGCGTAATAAAATTCCGGAGAGACCTCACGCGAGGCATTCATGTGTTCCTCTCACAGATCTCGTTTGGCACACTCCGAGTGCTCGCTCCAAGATTTCGGCGGCCACTCCAGATCTACCAGTGGAATTCGCCAAAAGACGGCACAGTGGGTGGAGCAAACTTAATTGCTTACACAGTCCAAATAATAAAATTATAGACAAATACATTGAGACACAGCCTGTTTGTGTTCCTTAAAAAAGCTAGAAAGCAGAAAGGACTCAAGCACGGCAATGCCGATATGGACAGTGGAAACTGGACCACGCAAAAGTGAATGCATCGAAAGACCATGAGCCCGAGACAGAATGCCACCGTCTGCAGTTTGTAGCAGAAACACAAATGCACACTGGCAATTCGTCCCCATATGAATCCAATGGCCTAGCTAATTTTTAACAGCGGAACGTGTTCTTAGCTGAAGTTTTAGTCTCCAATGCTTTTGTAGCGCTGATCCCGTAGCTTCGTATTGCGGTGGGAGTAAGCCTCGGTAGGGAAAGGGCTAAATGCACCATGAGAAGCAAATGCTTGCTGCAAGAAGTGAGGGCAGAAGATGTCGAGAGGTGAGCCTTCAGGACATGCGATGAAATGCAGTAATAGGTGAGGTGCAGTGGAGTGTAAAACAGTGCATCAGTGTTGGTGTTCGAAAGTTTGTGCTTTCAAGATGGCAAACATTTCTCATTCTACCCATAAAAAAAGCACCCCACGTGAGTGTCAGTGAGAGCTGACGCGAGAATGGGCATGTCTGTCGTCGGCTAGCCGACCGCAATGGTTGTGTGAGGCCGAAGCTGAGCACCAACGAACGGAAGATTTGAAAAATATAAGAGTGCGATATAGCCTGGTGAAGGATGGGCACAAGTTTTGCTGTCTCTACAATTTACAGAAAGTGGAGGTGGCTGGACTTCTTTTTTTCCCTTTCTCTTTTTTTTGAACATGTGGGATGCTACTGCCAGTTCAAATGTGAAGGGTGGCACGACCTGTAGAGGCCATGGTGCCCACATGACTCTGCAGAAGAAGCAACATGCACTACTGGGCTCAAAGTGCAAGCTTGCGTGGTGTGGTCTGGCTGAGCTGTGCAAGTACAGTGAAATCTCAATACAACGAATCTCAAGGGACCTCTAAAAATCATTTGTTATTTTGAAAAGCCGTTTTAATGAAAGTATTGAAAGTTTGCGCAAGGCAAACACGCGAGTCGCTTACCTGTACTGTGTATACATTCGTGACCGTGTTATGTACGAATAAGCGCGGAAAGACAAACACAATATATTACGAAACCAGTGCACGTTTATTTGAGAAATAGTGCAATATATCCTAACGTGGGCAGCTCGACTGCTGAAGAACGAACTTTTAAGTGTGCGCATCCTTCTTACGCACTGTCAGCATCAGCGTTTCATATCGATCGTGAACGTTGGTTCATGCGCGCTGTTTCATATCGTCTTTGCCATCGTTGCCGTTTTCTTATCACGATAAATGGTATGAATCTTATCGGTTGTCAGGCTAAGCTCACATGCGTGCTTCGTTGTTGCACTGTGTATAGTGTTCAAGCGTTAGTGAAGCATGCACAGGCAATCATCGACGACTTCATCTAATAGGTCATTCACGTTGCATTTTTCGCTTTTGTAGCATTCCTTTTGTGCTGCTTTCGGAGCTCATCTTGAACATTCAACCACAGACAAATAAGCTAGAAACCAGCACGCAGGTAAAGTGGCACGACGAAAACAAAGGCAACAGGGCGAAGCCCGACTAGCCACCCTAGCCTGACGCGAAAAACAAGTTTTAAGTAATGATGATGGCTGATAGTGCTATCGAGCATTGAATATGGCGGGCAAATAGAGAAATACGCTGGCGTTCTTATGATAGTAGTAACTACAGAGTGGGTATATTTTTTCAGTCGCGAGTAACTTCTTAAAATCTCTATTCGTTATATTGAATGTTGTGAAAATGTAAGGGGAATAAAATTTGATATGTTATTCTGAAACATTCTGTATTCTGAAATCCGTGGTAGCAAAATATTTTAACATTAAACCAATAGACATTTGAAGAGAGATTTTGGAAAAAGTCAATCTGAAAAAATACCTATACTGAGGTTCGCTATAACGAGATATGACTGTACCTGGTGCCGACCACCTTTGTCCCAAGCCGCCTGTTAACTAGATATGTAGTAGCCAGATCAGAACACAGCAGCAATTTCAAATTTGCTACATGCAAAATATAAAGTGATGTACAATTACAAAGCAAAATACAACACCAAGGCACCTAGCTCACAAGGTGCACAGAACAGAGCTAGAACGAGCTGGCAAGTGTAATGGCGAATTCGCAGATCATAATGTACATAGGTAAGTAGTCATAGCAGGCTTTTTGGGATACGAGCGACTGGCTCAAGCATGCAGTATTTGAAAGAGCACGTGACCACAGAGTGCCACCTCCACTTAACCAAATATAAGGTAAATGAAGCATAAGCAGACAGCTGTCGATAGACCGGAGGATAAGGCATTTAAATACATTATTTTCCAGACTTTTCGATAATGCACATGTGGACACATTTATTTAACCAAGGGTTAGCGACGACACTACCACAATTCCCTTACAATAAAAAAAACAAGAACAAGCCAGAACATAACAGTCAAGCCTACTAGCTATACAGTAGAAGACAGCATGCTATCTTTGCCCCTTTTGACATAAAATTAAATTCCCTGCTGCAAGCAGTGCATTAATATAAGGCTCACATAATCTCATCAGCCTTGACTACAGATGGGCACCAATTCCTTACCACGTCAAGAGAAGTGTAGCAGGGCTCCTATAAAGGCCTGTACATAAAGGAAAGGCAATTTTTCGCTACAGTGATGAGGCCTTCCAAAAATGTATGGCTGTGCACAAATGCAACAGGATTATTTATTAACAGAAATATTTTCCTACAAACTATTGAAATAGAAATGTGCATGCTCTGAATTCGAGCTCATTACTAGTGTGCTTGAGCAAGGCATGCTCGCTACAGGAAATTAAGGTAAAACAGTGCAGAGCAAGGATAAAGGCTTACTTCGTCTGCCATCTGGCGTGTACTGCGCAGGTGCCGAGACGTCTAAGCCTTGGGATGTAAAAGAAAGGAAAAGTAGAAAAATAAGTTGAGGAAAATTTAAGTAACATTAAAGGGAGAGGAAGTCTTGTTGACCTTGCGACTCTGTGAGGACACTTCGTGCTCGAAGTGTAGTGTTAAATTAAAAAAAAATTATTTTACCACAAGGTACATCTTACTCCAATATAAGCAGTGAAGGTGACAAACTGGTGTATAGCTGCAATAATACACTCAAATCTCATTATTACAGAGAAGCACCTTATAAGAAAATAAGTTTTTTATATCTGAAAATTAGTTATAAAGATTATTTCTAACACTGTATCTATTGCAAACAATTTTTCATTTACTTCATTAAAACCAATATATTGTTATACCTGTGTTCGTTACATTGAGGTTCGAGTGTATTTCCCTAGGCACACATTCAAAACACACACACACACAAACTTCCACGCAAAAGCAGTCAGTGGGTTAAAAGCCCAAAATCAACATCTCCAAATTCTTCTCTTAGAGACACAAGAGGTGCTGTTATTGCCCGAGTGCGAAATATATCTTATATCTTTATTGAATAAAGCTGCCCCGAATCACCTTCTTATGAAGCCTCAGAGATAATTTGAAACAAGTAAGGCATCTCTAAAAGAATATCTCCAAAAATATTGCCGCAGAGATTGCTCCTAACAGCATATTTACCAAGAGAATGAACGAGACGCTGTGCGGGCGTCTACAGCGTCTCTTGTGCACGAGCATGAGCCAAGAGACTGACCTGGTGGTGCTAGAAAGGGACACGTGTGTGGAAAGCTTTAGAAGACTTTTTTTGTATCATACTTACTTTTCTGGACACAAGTTTGTCCTTAATAAATCATTGTGTGTGTGTGTTCCCCCCTCTTGTATTACATGACAATATCTTTTCCAAGGACCTATTATGAGTAGTGACAGCATATTTTCTTGTGTATAGCCTGCACAATGGTAACTTAGAATATGGCAGTGAGCCGAAGTGTTAGTTAAATGCGAATTTTATTGTGTGATGTGGCTCCAAGGCAATACAAGGACGATTGCAACGACGAGTTCGACAACGACGGCTGAAACTGACAACACGCGAGGACAGGGCAATGACATTTGCAACTCAAACTGAGTGAAAATAAAACGTTTGCCATCGTTGAGCGCAATGGGTCATTCGCACCTTAGATATAAAACTAACACGCACAATGAAGAAGTGCAGGTAATCACAATGGTGCACATAGACTCGAAGTGTGTTAGTGCCGCATCGATCAATTTTTCTGACGAAGAACGCTGTTTCCTTAAGCAATCCTAATGATGCACGTATTTGCAATTATCTTCGTTTGACTGACAGCCCCCCTCTTTCTTTTCCTTATGCTATACCATATTTGTGCCTGCACAGTAAAACCTTTGCCGGCAGTTCAGTGCCCTACATTGCACGTTCCCTTGTCCATGTCTAAAGCGGCGTTAATTTTTTAAAAAGCCAAATACAGTCTATCCTGGATATATCAAACTCGAAGGGGATCGCGAAATAGTTCGATATATCAAGAATTCGAATATAAAATATGCATATTTAAGGCCTGAATTGGAAGAATTTCAGGCCTCAGAAATCGTTACAAGATCTAACATAACGATTCATTCAAAAACAATGTGCGAACTGCAGGTTACTTCTTTTTATTTAGTCCTGTAAACTTGCCTTGCTTCTTGCACGCGGTCAAGTTACAGTTATCTTCAATATCACTGAAACTTTTCAAATAAGCGAACCTAGCTCCTTCGGCCACAACGTTCATTGACGCAGAACCCCGATGCAAGATTTGTAGCGCGGCAAAAGCTTGGTTAGCAGTAGAAGCGAAGGCGTTGGCACATTCATAACCGCACGGCTACAAATGCGTGGCACCGGCAACTGGCAGCCAAAATCTCAGCATCGATGCAGTCAGAAACGTCATCTGTACCGATGAAGTCACTACTGTCCGAGATGGTGCCCGGAATATGCTGACAAGTCACAGAATTTACTGAGGCATCAAACGCCATTGTCAGCAGTCATGATGCACCCGAAGTCGTCACCTGGCCCGCAAGGAACGTTTACGACAGTGTTTTACTTGACGTCGCTCCAAGCGCCAGCCATAACAGTGATAATTTTCATCGCTATCTGCGAGTCAACATTCAGTTCAACTCCCGAATGAGATTTATCAGGAACGAGGAGAAAAGGCCACAAGGTGCAAAAGACGCAACGCCTAGTTTGTCGGAGTTTTCACTGTCGACATGTTGGCAATATCGATGTCACTGCGGCTTTGTAGCTGGCAGTCGCTGCTTTTAGCAGCTTTGATGCTAAACAACAAAAAAAAAGTAGCCTCCGAGACATGCGTTCTGAAACCAAAAACACTTCAAAAATACATCACAAGGTTGCACATCTCGAAGGCCATGCTTTTCAGGCTCGCATGCCATTGTGCGCCAACAAACAAGGGAATGCGAATCACATGTGAACATTGCACTGAGATCACAGAGTCACTTCACATACTCTTTCAGTGCCCTCAGCAATCGGTATTTCGGAAAAAAACTATGCCCGCGCGATAAGACTTGCAGAACGCGCATCAAACGTACTGATGTACACGCATGAGGTGTGCAATGAACCAGATCAGTGCAATAAAATGACACTGTTTTTTCGTCACCTGTGCGCGGAAAAGGATGAAATCTTGTTAAAACAGTGGCCGAAAATTGATCAATATTTGCTAGGAAAAATGCACTTTCTGGGCTTCGTTGCGGCGCAGCGCTGGATATAGCGGATGTCCCGCTGTGCGAGAGTTCGATGTACGGGTGCACCGGTTCCATAATTTTGCATAGGAAATTTAAGGGGACTTTTCAACAGTTTGATATAGCTAATAATTCTATATATCCGAGTTTGATATATCCGAGATCGACTGCATCAACATTTCCCATGCTTCACACTTGCTCAGAGTAGTCTCTGTATATAGGAGACATGTACGACAAAGCAATCTCAGCTTTGAAGATTGAAGTCAGAGCTACTTTAATGAAATATTTATTAACTCTACAGGCTGCACACAACTGCAAAATCTGGCTAAGATGTTCACTGCTCTAGTAATGTGCACAAAAAATGCATTTTTGCGTCAAGCCCAAGGAGCTATTGAGGGTAGCCTTACAAAACCAAATAAAGACGCAAAGCACACAGTGAGGAAGAAAAAGATGAAGATGATGGAATGAGTGCCCTACCAGAGGATTCACAGTAATCTTGAGCCGTCACGGAGTGTGTAAAATCAGGTGAGGAGTGAGGACTACCTGTCTGCAAGATCTGTTAATAAATGCAAGGCATGCAATTAGCACAGCAGAAAAACGCACAGTAGTGTAACGAATTGCACAATGCAGCAACTTGCATGAGGTTACGGTATAACTCACAAACAAGGGGTGTTATAAAAGCCTTTTCCAGAAATGTCCTGTACGACAAGTCGGAGATGTCGGTGCCACTCCAGGTGCTATTCAGTAATTTAAGTAGGGCATATGTCCTAATCATAACACACAAACGGCACGTACACTTATGTATGTTCATGTAGGTGTTTGTTTGCGCGAGGTCTATACAGTATATGCACCTGCATAACTGAAAAATTTCGGAAGGCGGGTTAAACCCCCTTCCCTCCCGCCATGCCAGTGGACTAGTAAGATGCTTACAAGTTGGTACAGCTAATGAGACATGGACACAGCAAAACTGCCTATTTTCACATGTAAACAGAATGCAAATTTTACATAGGAAGCATTTCAAACTTCGGCGCTATGCAGCCTGCGTCATTTTATACATACAATGAAACTTACATAAAAAATCGACACATGCTTTTTAACAGGCATGTAAGCATGTGTTATTTTCCTTCACAAATTACCAACTCGCCCAACGGTATATTTTTTGTAAGCACATTGCAAATTGCCTCGACAAGGTGACTGAATGGGTGTAAGGCTTTTACTTCTACACCGTTACGACCACCACTTCAAACTGTGTCTAAGAGTTACAGCACGGTACTATTTCACAGTAGGCGTGAGGAAACATGCCTTTTACTGCAGCCGATGGTTTTCTCGCTCGTTTTGGCGAAGGCTCATCCCCCGTAAGACTCGCTTTACGTTTGCCCTGCACAAAACAACACACACAGGGTCGTGGGTAGGTTGAAGACTCAGCTATGTGACAGGCTACAGAAACCAGAGAAAAACAAAACAAGGATTCAAAACTCTGAACACTAAGCTTGTTAAAGAGAGAGAAACAGCGTCTGTCCTAGCTAGAGCTGCACGAAGCCAGCAGCAAAAAATGAGACAGCAGACCAGCACATGGCTCCAAGGAGTATGGTAAAAGTGCTCTTCCAGCCTTGGAAAGTGATTCTATATTGAGCTTGTGGAAATGGAGCCGTTGAAACAAGTTTGCCTGGTTATTCAAAGTGCTGCACCTGAGCTTGGAGCCTTAAAGAAACACTAAAAAGAAAAACAATTTTTTTTGTGTGCATTTGTAAAGTAATATTTCACAATTCCAAAAACACCACTCTTACTCCGAAACAATGCTTACTGAGCGAGAAAATGCAAGTGGAAGCGCCACTTCGAGACTCCCGCACTAAACACCATGATGTCATAGATTTTGACTTTGTCCGCTGGGTCTTACATAGCTTCCAATCAGTAAAAATGAAGTACATTTATCATCTGCGGGTGCCACAGACGTAGCATACATAGTTTCAGAAAATTTCATTTTAAAATTTGTGACATTTAAATTTAATATGAGACTTCACCTTTGATTTTTTTTCCGCTAATAATGAACTTTCAATAGTTAAACATATAACATTGAAATTCTCAGTGAAGTTTATGAATTTAAACCGAGTTATTGTTTCAATTAAGTGTCCCTCTAATCTCCTGACTACTCAAACATCATCTACATGTTTGGTGCGATAGGCTTTTTTTGGCCACCATGCCAAGAGACCTCTTGATTGACAGAAACGTTCCTCAAGTATGGTAAAAATCTCTTGAATGTACCATATGTTGCATAGCAAGGTTTGACTTAAGGGCAGTGATTACAGCAGAATCTCGATACGATTATGGTTGATGCAGATTTCGTGGATACGAATATTAAAGTTGGTTCGGATGAACTACATTATATAAAATACGCCGTGATTCAGTGTTGTACGAACGGTTTCTCAAGCAAACATGTATGATACAAACGCGCGACTGAGCGGTGAAATGCAGCTTGCCTGTGGGAAGAGGGCCTTGGCCTCAAAGGGAGCGAATGCGGTAAAGCTCACTGGAATTTCCCTCGCTTAGCCACTGGAAAAGTGACAGGAAAACCATGCTACGAGGTCGGCGCGAAAAAATCGGTCTGTGATCAAGTTTGCCGCCACGCCATAGCGAATCGCCTTTCCGTTACGGCTTTTGCCTACACCGGCTGTGCTAGCTCTCAAACCACGTGATGTAAACAAGCAGCCCTACATTCAAGACGGTGACCGAGGTGACGGCAGCGGGTGCATGGCGGTCGGTGCAATCGCGAACTACCTGCGCAGCACGACAACGATCACTGCCCTAAAAAAGACTCGTTTATCGAAAGCCTGGTTTGGATTACAATCGCTGCAAACACCGGAAGTAGACGAAGGTGTAGCACCAGCGACTTGGCATGCCCTAATGTGTTTCGCTTTTGCACTGCTGGATAAATCCGTCGCCATCGTCGCCGCTGCCGACGCGCCTGCTCGTGTCGTTTCTTCTGACGTATCTCCCGAAACAATGTTTGTAAAGGTGTAAACTCCTTCTTTTCAGTACTTTGCATGAATAACTAGAACTTGGTGGGGATTTTAATGCTCAGGGATATATTTCTAGTGGCAAAGACGGCGGAGTTGGCATGTATACGAGGGGCTGAAGGAATGTGAACATTTGTGAACGCGGACATGGTATTGCGGCCGCTCTGGTATTTTCGCTCGAATTCTCGAGTATGAATTCTCTTGGACTGTTTTTTTTCCCTCTTGACTTTGCGGCACGTTCTTCCGGCCACTTAAGAGGCCAAGCTAATAAATTTTCAATAAGTATTAAGCCACTTCAATTCTTTCCCTTTGATGCCAAGTGTGAACATGCCTTATAGCGCCAGCAGCGTGAGCGAGAAATAGCAGCATTTTATTGAGAGGCGGCGAAAGCAGAAAAGTTCAAAATAACATCAAGGACTTTTTTTAGCAAGAAGTAGTTGACCCCAATCAAGTTGTTTATCTCCATGATCTGATTTAACTTGGTTTTTCGGTTCATACGAATTCAGATGATACGAATATTTTGCGTGCTCCCTTTAAATTCGTATCATCGAGATTATACTATATCCTTTATGACATGCCAGCTGTTGCCTCAAATGAACCAACAGCTTGGTCACAAGAGTACTTTCTTGGCAACACACTGCCGACACTCGACAAAAGCTTAGTACAACACTAAAATACGAGTTTTTATTTAATATATGCAAGTAGAGTGTTACAATGCCACACTGAGCTTTAGCATATTTTGGAACACAATGTACTCTTGCCAGATCAATAAGCTGCAATCAAGCCCCGCGCACAAACTGCACATGAGGGTTTTTCACCAGAAACTCATATGAGGGAGTTTTTTACCACCGTCATTTTGTATCCTTTGCTTTTACCATTGCACAGAAATTGCAAAAGTTATGCTCACAATAACATGAGAATTAGGCATACTGTAAGGACGATCTGATAGTCTGGTTAAACCCAATGCAAAAGAATAAGCGCTTTATCTTGTACCACGTTTTCAACTACCAATATGATTGGTAAAGGCATTGTTGCCAAGTGCCTCAACATATGCATTGCTTCCGAGCACTTACGTCACTCTTGCGTTTGGAGCTTGTTGCTGTTTCAAGGTAGGCTGATTTCTTGGCCATGAATTTACCCCCTACAAGCAATATTTTTTTCTTGGACTGTGATGAGGTGCTTGTGGCTGGCGAAGCACTGGCTTCTGCAGAGAAAACAGGCATTCACATTTCCCATTTGCTATGCTTAGCAGGCACCACACTAGTACCCCTGTCACACTGGACATTTCAGTGTCATTCTAATGAAATGACATTTGCATTATATGACAATAAAACAGCGTTGCTATTTGGTGCCTTGAGTTGCTTTCTGGATATGGAAATAGCATGCAATTAATCTTCTTGTGAAAATGCGACTACGGGCGAATCCCTCTAATAGGAGAACTGAAGATGTTTTAGCATTCAATAAAACTTCGTGGGTAGCAAATATCGGCACCACTATCGACGGTGTCATAATTTTTTCCTTGGTTGCAGCAACAGGAGCTTTGGAATATGCAAAAGAAAAGTTTGTCTTGCTCTGCCCTCGCGAGTGCGCTGAACGTTTGGGCGTGAAAACCTACGTCATTTTCGGTTTTCCTCGCAGAACCATTCTGCACTTGAACGTATACAGTTCGGCTGCTCACTAGGTGTCACAGAACGAGCGCTAAACAAGAGCGCGCCGCCAAATCCTTGCGACAACGGGCGGCAGAAACGCCGCGAGGTAAAAAGAAAAAAAAAGAAAGCAAGCAAACATCCAGGGCTCCCGGGCGCGCGCTCTCTCCGCAGAAGCACGGCTTCGCAGACGATCCTCCTCACCCCACATCGGCGGCCCAGCAAGACCGCGATTTTTCTAGAACGAAGGAGGCGGGGTCAGACCGAGTGAATCATCCTCCGGAGAGGGCAGTCGAACCGTCTCGTGCCTCTCCCCAGCCTTCGCTGCGCATCGCGCCGACGAAACGACAAGAAACATCTAAAATGTCGCGCGCAAGGTATTTAACCGAGCGGCCGAGACGAGAAATCAGGAGTAGACGGAAAGTTAGCGCCGGAGCGCGTAGGGATTCCGCCGTGGAGTCGGCGAAGGTTCTGCCCGTAGTGACAGAACAGGAGGAGACGGAAGTGAGCGCCAGAGTGCGTAGAGAGTCCGCCGTATAGTCGGCGAAGTTTGTGGTCCGTAGGGACGGCTCGAGCTACAGGCAAGAGTGTGTGTTTACCGCTATCGAGCGAAGACCCGTGGCAACCGCTGCGAGTGTGAAGCCGACGTGTTCCGGCGAAGAAGTTGAAGTTTGAAGAGTGGCCAATTGAAGACGGGAGGTTTCCTGGAAGAGAACTTCGAGAGCTGCGGAACGACAACAACGCTGGACTTTGAGTGAGTGATTCTCGGAAGAGTATCATTCAGACTTTTGTTCCAAGGACTTTGGACTGAATAGGTTTTATATCTCTTTAGTCTTGGTTGTTCAATGCATGCGACTGCATTGTAGTGCGTATTGTTGTCTGTGTCCGTTGTTTCAAGTGTGGTTGATTGTACTGTGTAGTACATTGTCTGTTTGGTGACGTATTGTATGTAACTATTGTGGAGTGTGCATACGTGTGTATTATTTTCGATCTGCCAATATTGAGAATATAATTTGTTTGTTTATCAACTCTCGGCTCTGACTTGTTCTTTGGGCCACAGCCGGCGTCCGCTGGCGCGCCAAAAAGGACCACTTCTAAATTGTCCACGCTTTCGTGGTGCGGTTCGGGGGGCCGATACTTCGGCTCTTGGAATTAGCCCGGCGATCGCCTCCCTCATAACGGGACAGGTGTGACACTAGGCATGTTTAGCTGAGCGGCGCTTATACTCAGCCATGCGCAGCTGTAGCGACCCGAGACAGTGCGGGGGGGCTGCAGATATTTCGCGTTTTGGAGAGACGTGGCCAGCTTGGCTGCAAAATGACAGCAAAACTAAATAGACGCACCTTCACCCTTTGCTACTTGAGTAAGTGTCTCTGATATCTTCAACCATGGCCTCCGTGATTAACTCAAGACGTTCCATTGCCGGAACTAATAGAGCAGGCCACACTTTGGCAGTGCTGCTGCTGCGGATGACGCGGCATACTGTGCAAGATGTCACCACTTGCGCTCGACGTGTTAAAAAGCTTAGCAGTCACAGTCTGTTTTTTCACCAAGAAGTGCTATTTGTGCTCACTTGTGAGTACTCTCGAATTGCTTTTCAAATTCAGCAGGGATTAAATCGTACTAATACGATATTAAGTCATTAAAAAAAAAGTGCTTCAGGTTCCCTTTAAAGACACTGATTTAAGAGACAAATGGGTACTATAAGAGACACCAATATATGCTGGCATTGAAATAAGGGTTGGTAAAAAAAATGCATATTTGGCACCCTGCCTATAAGATTCACCTCAAATGGAAAATAAGAATTGCGGCTTGACGCATATATTTTACCAGTTGCAAACATAAAATATCGACTGATGCGCGTCTTCGGAATGATGAGCGATGCTTTGAGCACCATGGAGCACTTAATTATTCTGAGGGCAGTCCAAGCTTCAAGGGTGGTGCACTTTAAACACACAGCTATTTTTACAAAAGGACATACTAATACAAAAGTGGAGGAAGAACACACCTCTCTTTTCTTGCCTTCGAGAATCCGACCTTGAGCTCTGCTTGGACGGCCTGGGCTTTGTCACCTTCTCACCACTCCTCTTGGCATCCACGGAGGACTGTGCTTTACTGGTGCTGCTTCCCTCAGACAGCCTTCGCTGCTCTCCATGCCTGCTGTGGCTTTTTTTTGAAGAGTCGCTTGACGAATCACGATGGCACTTGCTTTCGTGTTCCTTCTGAGGTGCACGAGGAAACGCCTGTGTGATTACGAAGGAGCACCTCTTAGATAACTAGTACTTCGCTTAAACTACAGCAACGTTTCTCTGCATCCTATGGCCAGGAACAAGAAAAGTGACCGATTTATTGCTCCGACGATTGTATCCCCAATTTGTAAACAGTTAACTCACACTAACCCGGTTCACTTATGCCTTTCACTTTTGCTAAACTTATGGCTTACTGAGACTTCTTCCTTTCTTTAATAGCGGAACCTACAACTACGAAATCGTAGTCTACAAATGCAGCTCTACTTGATATTATGTCTTAGAGTCCCTTTCTTGAAGTTAAAACATGTTTTTCCACAGTGTCAATTTTCATCCCATAAGACTACTGCGTTACTGCAGTAGTTGAACACAATTCTAACAATATGAAGAGAAGATGACCTTACCACACTGCCTTTTTGATTACTGGGCATCTTTTCTATATTGATTCCCTTCAGCGTCTTCACAATTCCATCATAAAAGATCACAGAGTACAATTCTGGAACAAGAAAAATAATCAAGTCACTCTTAAAATCTGCCCCCATGAGGCTTATTAATTACAGTGCACAGGCGTATGCACTGTAGTTAATAGCAGAATGAGAAATGGTCAACATACCGTCGTCTTTCACCTCTATCACTTTTGCCGGGTATTTCCTGCGGTCACCCCACCTTGCTAGCACCTCCTCCCCTTTCTTGTATTGCTGCAGGAGTACATGCATGCAAGATGTTTCAGTGCAAGCAGCTGATGATTATACATGGCTACCCCAAAGAGCTTTAGCACTGAGTTATTTCATTATACCAGACTCACTGATACTTCTAATGGCATATGCACGAGTTTACTGATGAGACCAATCTAACATATCTTTTTGCTGTCTAATAGAAAATATCTTAACCAAGTGATGTATTGTTTGATGAACCAAAAAAAAATATATATATGAAAAAAGGAAAAGGTGTGATGTCATAGTGTTTTACAGGGTGCCCCAGCTATCTTTAGCCAGAGTTTAAAAATATGGTGACACACACAATCACGAGGCTATCAAATGCATGTTGCCGACTGCTGCCTGGAGCGAGTCAGACTATTCTTTGTGTTCTGATAAAGTGCCAAGTTAGGTTACTTTTATTTTTTTAAGCCACAAAAATGGGCCGGACATTCCAATGCGAAAGCTGTTCATCTGTTTGCAAAACGTCGAATTATGTGGTTTCAAGCTTTATATCTGTTAATTTTTTGTGTTTTCCTACTAACTGCGAATGCCTGCGAAATGCAAAAAAAAAAAAAAAAGACAAGCCTGCTCGCGCGCCAGTGTGCACGATGATTCTAGTGCTCCATAACGTTTCGCGTACAAACGACCATAACATTTGCCCAATTGAGTTGTCTTGACAGAGCCGCAACGATGGTGGTGGCTTTGCAATGAACACGTCTCGCTATCGGCCCCACAAGCGATAACCACTGTGACTGCTTACCCCTGTCATGAACCGGCGTGAAGACAGCGTTTTGTTCGTATGCAGAACATTTGGAAGCACCAGAATCACAGCAGGCGTAGGCGTGCCGGTGGGTTTGTCACATGGTATTTTTTGGTATTTTGTGGGCATTTCAAGTTAGCATAAAAACACTAATAATTAACACCTATAAAGTTTGAAACTGTCTAATTGGACGTTTTGCAAAGATATCAACTTTTTATTGAAATTTTCGACCAACCTTCGTTTCTTCAGAAGTTAGTTAAAAGGGTCTAATTAAACAATTGATAAGAACACAAAAAATCGTCTGATTCACTCCAACCAATGGTCAGTAACATGCAGTTTGGCGCATGGTGATTGCGTGTGTATTTTTAAACTCTGGCTAAAGATAGCTTGGGCACCCTGTCTAGACAACAAGAGATAGAACAATTAAGGACAGTGGAACAAACGAACAATGCAAGACTGAGAAAACACTAATTCAGAGGGAACACTACTCGCAGTTTAAAAGCGTGCATGTCGCAAATATGGAAGCCACCTCAACAAGAAGAGAAGTTTTGATTTTTTGTCATATAAATGTTGGTACCAACGAAACAGCCGAGACCATGCCCAAAAATTGATCAGACGTAACATAGACAGAGGGTGAAAGTTATCAGACTGATTCTCACCGATTTTTTGAAACGATGCTTCTTCACGTCCTTGCGCGTGTGAAGGTTAGCGGCAAGCCGCAGCCGTGGACTGTCCATGGAGAGCCATTCGTCATAACGAGAGCTCCAGCCCGCGAAGTGGATGAGCACGTCACCATTCTCTTCGTCGACACTCACAATCTTAGCAGCATACCTGCAGTGTAAGGGTGTGCCAAGGATGTTATTACGGGAGCTCAATCACACATGCAATTTCTGGCAAGTGAGCAGCAGGTTGATTTTGGCTAACAATACGAGCCTATCGAAATGCAGAAAAAGCCTAAACTGATCCGGAAATATCTACAGTAACCGGAAAAACAAAAAGAAAGCTCAGCCCAGAATTTTGACACGAGTATTTGTCCTTGTTGTGGCAACAGATGTCTTCCTCTTGACATAGTCTAATATAGTTCCTACAAAACGGGATAAAGAGCGAGGTGATCGATTTGTTGTGGCACCCAATGACATTTTAAAGGCCTCAAATTGAAGTCACCAGACGCTTTCCCAGAAGCAGGATTTGTGTTCTGTTGCACGAAGCTTTGTGTGCCAACTCTATGGCAGCTCCAAAACATGCAATGGCCCTTGCACAGCCATATAAACTGATGAAAAAGCTTTTCAGAAACCAGGCTCACAGCCAGGATTTTTTTTTTTTTTTTTTTGGTGGGGGGAGCAGTTGAAGACTTTGAAAAACCAGTACTTTCATTATCTATTCTTGGTAAAACACCCACTCTCCATCCGAATTTCTGAGGAGAGGGGCTAGTGTACCATTCCCTGGCTACAACCATGTCAGGAACCATGGTAAACCACACAGCAAGCAAACATTTCCAATTGGATCTTTTTATACATACATATGGATTTAATCAATTACACAGTTTCCACAGCACATTTACATTCACTTTTTAAATGAGCAGTGGTAGCTAAGTAACTAAGGTGTTGCGATGTTAAGCTCAAAGATGCAGGTTCAATTTCAGGCATTTTAGCCACATTTTGATAGCAGCGAGATGCAACAACACGAGTCTTCTGAACACTAAAAATGCTCAAGAAATGGTCACACTTAATCCACAGCTCCCGCTTCCAAATGCCCTTTAATGATATTGCAGTTTTGGTTCATATTACACCTCCATTTAATATTTTGACACTTAAAAAAATTGGTTAGAATTAGAATAAAAAAGTAAGGAAACAGAAACAACTTAAAACCAGGGACTACCATAAATTACAAATGGATTTTGTACAAAGCTACAGTTAAAACACAGTGTAGTGAAGTGATGACAATGCTTAAATGATTTTGTTAAATTAGGAAAGGGATATTTTCTGGACCTTAAAAATATATAACTGTGACATAGCAATACCCAAAAGCTACTATGGCACTGTATTCACCACAAGCCCCACCTGTGCATGTGAAAACGCCTCGAGTGTGGCCTGTACATGAAGCTTCCTATGTCCAGATGATGCAGACCATGTCACAGAAGCTACGACAGGCTGCTGATAAACTAAGCTAGGGAGACTGAGATCGGTGTTTGTGCAAGCAGGATGACAAGCAAGCAAGGCAATGATCCGTACAGTCTCTCGTGTAAACTATGAAATAATGAGAGCAACCACCACAGTTTTCCAGTCGGTGAATTTGCAGGGACAAAGCACAACCACCACAAGAACTATTTGGTAAACAAGGGCATCACTGACCGCCAAGTTCGTTTTTCATGAGCAAGCACAAAGTGCAGCCTTGTCTAAAGGAAAGTTTGGTCATGCATGGGGAGGCTACAGGTTTTAACCCATTAGCATAAGAGGGCACACTTGAAGAAAATACTGCCCCGCCGCGGTGGTCTAGTGGCTAAGGTACTCGGCTGCTGACCCGCACGTCGCGGGATCGAATCCCAGCTGCGGCGGCTGCATTTCCGATGGAGGCGGAAATGTTGTAGGCCCGTGTGCTCAGATTTGGGTGCACGTTAAAGAACCCCAGGTGGTCAAAATTTCCGGAGCCCTCCACTACGGCGTCTCTCATAATCATATGGTGGTTTTGGGACATTAACCCCACAAATCAATCAATCAATGAAGAAAATACTGTGTCAAAATTAGGAACAGGTAAAATAACTGCATTTCACCCATTTATTTTAAAAAAATTCTTGTTAAATAAGTAAGTTTGACTAACTCGGGTCGATGAGAACCCTACGTGCGTGCATTTACAGGGAAACGGAAATTTCTTCGATAGATCAAGAACTTGGTACAATTCGGTTTCATTTTCAGAGATTATAAGTAACAGCTTTCATTCTCTTTTTCTGTTCCCAATGAAGTTTCTGAATAAAACAACCAGGTGCCACATAGAGATGCATTTCACCTGCCACCTTTATGAACCTGCCACCTTTATGACCCAAGAAATTTCTAGTAGATGTGACATGAGAGACTAGCTTACATCTTATTGCAGATGATAGGGAATGAATGAAAAATGACAAAATGTTGGGTGTTGCATGCCAAAACCAAAAAATACCGTCACATGGCACACCATTATGGCGGTCAATGCATATATTTTGACTTTCTAGAGCTCACTAACGTGAAGTTAAATACATGTACATGGTCATTTTCACATTTTCTCCCATTGAAAGGCAGCTGCTGAGGCCAAGAATCAACACTGCACCCTCACGATTGACAGTGCATTAGAACAACAAAGCCACGCAGTTGGTTTAAGAATGAAAAATTAAATCAGTTAGAAAAACAAGTCCATGTCTGCTGAGAATTTGGCTACAAAAATAGCCTTCATGAGCTCAAGAGTATGCACTATATAACAATTGTTTCAATAATAATAAAAAAATATTTCACTGCCAATTTGCCAATACAGCACTACTCACTCCTGTAATCACACTCGCTCACAAAGTATAAGCGACGAAAGAGTGGAAAATTTTATGATTAGGTCAAGGCAATAATTATGATCAGCCTATATTTTACAGCAAGATGGTTTTTCCCAATGGGTTCCAATTTGCCTTGTCCTGCATGAGCCAATTCTAATTAATGCTGGCAAGTTTTAAATGTCATCACCCCCTCCAACTCTACCATCATTTCTTAACCCTTGGTATACATTCTGTCGCTCAAACAGACCATCGATTATCTGTCCTTTGCATTATGTGACTGGCTCGTATTTTCTTATAACAGACGCAACTGGTGGCCAGGATTGATACTTCCAGACGTGTCAGTTGCTTACATATAACAAAACTACCCCATGTTAAGATGTCACGTCGTTGATGGTGCTATGTGTGGCAAGAACGACAGTAATGCGAATAGAACAAGCAGGCCACCTGACAAAAATATGTAATAATGTAACCTGCATGCAGGCGTTGTGCGCACTCCGTGGCCAGGTACTCTCAAAGGTGCATTTATAGAGTGGAAATGTGTGGTCTCAAAAAGCTTGTCATCTTGCCAGAGTAACTGAAGTAAAACGTCTCAGTAATAACATAACCGTATAAAATATCCTTCTGGTAAATGTTAGTTATCGTGTAAATGCCAACCACTGATATTTTGCACAAACGTATGCAGAGTTTGGCAAGACAATCGCAGATGCTTTGCACTCTCTTTTTTAACGTTCACCTCACATACTCCAGTCACCACCCTCATCACATGCACCCTCCGAGCACAAGGAGGCATATTCTGGTAGAATGGCAGCATGTGCATTTGCTTACGCGGAATGAGACGAGTTGCAGGTTAGCTGGAGTGCTAACTATGAATACACGCACGCCGTCTAAACAAACCACTGAGCTGCCTGGATGATTTCGCCATACAGATGTGGTATCGAGAAAGCTCGACCTCCAAAGATATACTACTTACATCTCCAGGTTGTTAACACGTTACTCCAACCGCGTGCTCTGGAAACCATGTCGATCCCCGGCGTACGATTTCAATAACTTAATGAAAAGCTTAATAACATTGCCCTAGTCAAATGTGTACTGCGTGTGGTCACAACAGTGCGTACGCAGACTTTGTTTGCAAGCTATGCAATTCCGACCAAATTTTCAGCTTAGCGAACGATGCTGCAGTACACTGGAGGCAAGCCGAACACTGCAATGCTTACGAGTGAATCTTTCGAACCCGTATATTTCCAGTTCCGTGGAAATCTCCTATCCACAGAGGACACAAGCGTGCCTCACGATAAGGCCATAAACATAGCCGTCACGATCGAAACTTCGTAAGAATTTATGAAAGAAACTCCTCACTTAAACAATCGGATTCCGGAACAGCGGTTACACGGACGCCTTTACACAACAAACGAGGAGATACACACACACATTAAGGTCGATCTAAAGAAAAAAATGAGGGTCGAGAGACCTACTATGGAACAAGCTCGTCGTCTTTGTCGAGTTTAGTGTTAGCAGCGCTCGAGGTAGGCATCGCCTCGCGCTACAGCGTAACTACACTACACTCGCTCAACAAAGTATTCCGTCGAAGCTTGATTTTTTTCTTTAGAAAAGATTTTTTTTCTCCCCAAGATTCAACAGTGTGACGGTGGACAAAGACGCGTGAAAAACGAAAGTACGAGGCCAGCTCACCATTTGTCCTGGAAATCTCTCGCCTCAACACGAGTGCCCGGAGTGTAAACAGGCACGCAACGGGAACGCCTCCGCTTGTGGCCACTGGTGCTACCGGCGCCGCTCTCGGCATCCAACTCCGATTTGTCGTTGGAAGTCTCGGCGCACCAAGGCTTGTCGTCTTCGCTTCGGCTCTCACGAGATGCTTCACCAGCGACGTTTTCACCCGCAGCCGCGTCGCCTTTGGCAACGCAAGCACTCTGTTTCGTATCATCTTCCAAAGCGGACGTTATCGACACTGCATTCGGATCAGGGCGCGCGCTTTCCACACTGTTTGACACCTTTGCGGTGCCGTCTCCGCTAACTTCGTCACTTTGATCGCTGTGTTGTGTCGAGTTGTCGTTGCTATCCAACACGTTTTCGCCGACAGTCTCGTTCGCCGTGTCGTCGGTGCAGAGATGGCTCGACGTGTAAGACGACCGGCTTTCCTCCATGTTTTCTGCAGCACTGCCGGCACTCGACTCCGTAAGGAGTCCCAGGCGGTCAGAAAACCGAGGAGCGACGCCTTCGGTGCTGTCGACGAATCCGTGATTGGCATCGCACGACGATTCTTCCATCATATCGAGGCACAGCGATCGCGCACGGCACGAGACGCAACCGAACTCGCCCCTGCCACTCACAACGACACTGGAATCATAACGGCGCAAGGATCAGAGCGGGACACGAAGGAGCTGTTGGGACGTTATGTATCCGGCAGAAAGTGCTTTCTCGGTCGGCTCTCCATCGGAGACGCAAACGGGAAGCTGCTAGTCAAAGTCGGCATTACTCCGGTAACACAACGTGGTGCGCACAACGGTCGTTTTGCGTTCCACAGCACCGACGTCTTCCGACGCAGAGGTTGATCAATAGCTGTTCATCTCCTTGTTAACGGCTCACACTGAACGAAAAGAAACGGTGAACACGAAGTCAACCACAAGTGCCGACAGCTCGCGCTGAGCAAAACACGCACGGACAAGAGAAAACCGCCATGACAGAATACGCGCAACTTTTGCGTTTTATCAATCACGCCTAATTGCGCAACTAGTACCACAGAACACCTCTAGTATCAAATGAAGTGTTATGAATTATTTCAATGATTAATTACTAAAAGTTATTGACGTAATAAATTACAGTATACATTAATAGTTGTTTAAACGTTGCTCATTTTCTTGTTGTCACGTGATACACGAAATACGAAACTGCTTCCGCTGGCATCTCGCAATGCCGTATCACGTGGTTGAATTAGTGCGGTTTTTTTTCCTGGTGAGCTTGGATCGCAAACAAGACTTTGCTTTCGTGACTTTGTGTGTGCTTTCAGCTCGCTGTGTGTGAATACACCGGACTAAAACTCGAATGCGACTTGCAAACGAAGACCTACTCGCTTGGTGAGCGGTTCTGCTTCCCGTGTTAATATTTTTTAAGCCTAATTCACTTAGTGGCCTTGGCATCAAGCAGGCGTCAGCAAACATCATCAGTCGGTGTGCATCATTGTCGTTGCTGCTTTCACAGCAATGTTTGCCCTGTTGACTGGCGTGCCTTTTATTGTTTTAACCTTAAACAACCTTTGCTTTGGGTATAGAGCACGATCAGGCTTACAGAGGAATGACGTTTTCGTTAGTTTCCGTTGTGTTCTTTACTGCTATTCGCACTACCCTACCGTAGTTCTTGCTCCTTTTATGTGGTTCTTGTGTGCGGACTCCTTTGTTTTGATTTCACAAACAGCTTTAATAGGTGATCGCGTCAATGCCAAGACAATTTGAGCCGCTGTGACGTCTGCAACCTCAGGTATTGCAGCGGCGCGTGGTTTCACCGTCTACGAGGAAGTCGCTGGGAACCGCGCATGTTCTTTTGTTGTAACGCCCGTCCGGTCCCTTCATCTACATCTAAGTCATGTGCTTAACGGACACGAGCGTTATGCTGTAAGTGTGGGTAGGTATACCGCACAACGCGTTGTGGCCGCGTAAATGGAGCTCTGCTCGTTTGTGGATCTGTGCTGGCGCATGTCACGAGCTAGCCGCTTCCGCCGGAATACTTTGGACTAGGTACATTCACTAACAGTCCGTATTGTCATTGTACTGTGTACACTCAACTGCGACGATAAACTTCTCGTTCTCCGTTTATCCTCGCTGCTGTGAACTGCGTGTCGTTATTTTACTCGCGGCCTGATAAGGAAAGCTCGTGGTAGTCGGTGATATTTAACTGCGGCCTTTTCAGGGTGGCGTAAAACGGGCGCATTCAGCTGTTTTTGCGCGATCTTATAGTCTCTTGATCGTCTGTGGTAGCGTTGTTTTTCTCTTGACGCTACTGGACGGCGCCAAGAAAGCATGAGTCATGCGATCGGCTGACAATCAATGCTCATGTCGGCGGCTTGCGTGCTATTTTGAATGATTGAAGTCGAGCGGCGGGTTTCGGCGTCGTCCACTTTCACAGCAACATCTGCATTCGTAGCATTTTATGACAACAGTTGCACCTGTTTCTTTCAGTCCGAAATGGTGTGACAGATTGGCGTTGTGTCAGTTGTTTTCTTTTTATTGGTAATAATTTTGCGTGCTACGAGTGTAGGTGATAACTATCTCGTGATGTTTTTGAAAAGATCTCGGAGAAGCCTTCAGTATACAGATCTTGAAACTGTGTAAATGATCTGAGATCTGATGAACATAGTTGTCTCGAATCTACTGTTACATTGATGCACAGGCAGATGTCTTAATTGGAACTTCCCCAACCTTCTGTTGTCCCAGCAGAGCTTGTGTGTGTGTGTGATGTCATTCAAATTTTCAGTGCCACCGCTGATCAATACTTAATTTGATATCATTCTGCTGTGGCATGGTGGCCCCGTGCACAAACTCAAAATTATCTCAAATGCTGTCTTGCACTGACTCACTGTGATGGCATAGATTTGACCCTATCTGTTTGAGATAGGTTGATTTTTGCTTGGCGAAGCTGCCGCTGAATAGCGTTTGAAAAGAACAAAGAATAAAACTAAACCCTGAAAGTACTAGCATTTTTGCTGATCCACAGTATCCTAAACAAAAACGAGAAAAAATTGAAATTAGCCCTTTGAGATGCCACCTACAAAGAACTGTCTGTAAATACATAAGATCAATACATTATTTCAAGGAACTCAATATTATACTGCAACAAAATAATTTCTTCATATGCTGATCTATGTGTTACAGCAACTAATCCTATTAAGTGGCAATTAAATATATATTTATCCTATAGTCAATGATTCTCTGTATAGGCATAAGTAGAATTAAATCTTAGGCTACAAATATAGTGAAAATGCGTTTTTCGTTATGTTCATCTTGCAAAACAGAAAAATTTCTTTTGACATGGAGCGCAGGAAGTGACACGTTGAACGACTCATCAAACATGGTAATACCTTAGAAAATTGATCATATGCAACAGTACGCTTTAAAATGAAGACATATTTGTAATAACAAAGGTTCAATTAATCCAAAACTCGATGTACCTCGCTTTTTCATGGTTCCTAGTCTATACAAATAGATGTCTAAATTGTTTACCATAGCGTGTCAAAAGATTAAAAACTAAGTGACAGTGTCGTTACGATTTTGGCACAATATAAGAAAATGGGTCGAACATCATCTTCTTTGTTATTATTTGACCTCCTGTAGTGAATTAAAGAAAAGGCTTTGAGAGTAATATTTCTACGCTAGCTAGCTTAGTCTATCTTGTTAGCATTCCACTAAATAGATGTTAGGTGAGTGGAACAATTGTGCAGCTTGTACTTCTGCAGCATGATCAGTTGAAGAAAATATTAGCACAACTGGGGTGTCGCTCTGTGCAGTCTGTTATGTGACAGCCTGATTATCTCAAACATTCTGAACTCTTGAAGTAATTACAGTTCCCCAAATTTTCTGCATTGTGTACTGCAGCAGTTCTGTGGCAGTTGTCTGAAGGACTTGTGTGACCCACATATAGCACTTTGCAACACAGTTGGGATGACCCTGGCCTGAAGAAAGGATGGCTGATATTGAATAATAATGGCTCGTCCATTGAAAGGCTCAAAAGGGAGTGCACAAAAGTGATTTATTTGTGTTTCGACTGCAAGTGATAGCGAAAGTTCTGACGGTTTTTGATATAATGTGCCATGTAATCAATAAAAGTCGCACGCCCATGATGTTGTTGAAGTAATCAGGCCACTTGCATTGTAAAATAGGAAGTGTTTGTTTTGTTGTTAGAGTACAGATTGTTTGAGAAATATTCACAGCCAATATATTGGACTTCAATTTGAAAGAAGAGTTTCAGCGGAATTACTCATAGTGAACAGCAGCAAGAAAGGACCCGTTAAGCAGAATTGTAGTTGTAGGTGTTTTATTATTATAGTGTTGCACGCTGTTTGTGGTTTTTCACACAATTGCATGCAATGGAAATTTCGTGGTATAATTGCCCTGTTGGACTTGGTGGCGTGAGGCTGTCAACCTTGACAACTTTTGTAAAAATCATTTGTACACTAATGGCTGCTTCAATTTGCACAAAGATCCGTTGAGGTGAAATTTTGTGTTTTCAGTGCAGAAATGTAGTCTATAGACCGTTTTCACAGAGGGGGTGTAGCCTCGAATTGGTGCATTTTCGTCTCTCTCCACCGGCCATTTGGCACTGCCACTGGTGTGTGGGGATTGCCTGTTCTTGCATGCGTGTCAATGTGCTTCCTTTTTTTCTTATTCGCTAAAGCAGTCCTGCAGCCTGAAATTGAAATATCTGCCGAGAACAGGTCAACAGGCTACCGCGGCATTGTGTTCGGGTGTGACAACTATCAAAAGCACAAAAAGATGGTAGCTGAGACATGCGAGGCGCACTGTCCTTTGAAGTGACTTTACTTAGGTCACGGGTCTTCTTCTCCGACAAATATTTTGTTCCATGTGTCTGTCTTTGTGACCGTTTCTTTATTATACCAGCTTGTGATTCTGGTGAGGTGCTGGTACCCTTCATCTGCAGCAAGGAGAGGCGAATGAACCAGAGTCATTTTTAACACTAATTCAAGCACTTAAGGTGCAGCTGGCCAATGGCGTACGTATTTGCTCGTCTCCATTTACATTACCTTTCACCCATTACTTTGACAGTTGTCTAAACACTTAACACTGGTGCGTACTCCCAGAATCCCACAAAGCCAGCTATAACAAACTAGGGCCTTTACACTCGCGGAGCGTTGCTGCGTTTTTACAGTGGAGAAGAGCAGTACCCTGTCAACTGAGCACATATGCTGCATACACTGCTGCAGGTTCCTGCGCACCGGCACGGCAGTGAAACATCGCTAATGCTAGACGGCGCTGTGGAGGAAAAAATGGCAGCCTCCTTGTGAAAATTGTCTATATACGGCGCAATTTTTCAGCTGAAGCTTTAGTTGATGTGCTCATGCCCGACCTTGGGTCTAAGCTCCTGCAAACATTAATAAATATATTTATATTCTTTTGTCCAGGAAACTCCCATGCGACGGCAAGGGCAGGCAGAGCCGCTTGTGCTGACGGTGTGATGTTTCCTCACCGCAGAATGCCGTGCCACATCACCATCCTCTATGTATACAGCATCATCAGCCTCATGGCACTTTTTCACGCAACGCTCGTTGCGGCTGAGATTGTTGCCGTAAGTTAATTCCTCACGTTTACGCCTGTCAAGAATGCTCCTGTGATATTAATCGGCTTCGCTCGCATGTTTCCTGGAATAGCATGTTTTCCGGAACAGCGCGCTTGGCAAACTGGTGGGGTAATCTCTCCAGCTTTCACTTAAGAGCGCTTCTCTCACTGTTTTCAGATTCCTCACAGCAACTCCACACCAGAGATAAAGCACTTCTTCGATCAAGAGCTGAGCTTCTCGGCTATGGTGCCGGATGAAGGAGTTCCAGTAAGAGGCTAAAACTGAACCCCTTTTTTTCAATTTTTACTTCATGAAATTTGACACCCTTGGCAATTGGAAATGATGGAATCTCGAGATTTTTGGCTATGGGAAGCACAGATAGGTGGTACTGTCTACCAGATGAAGTTTACTCGGGCAGCGTTTCGTCATGCATGTCTTATCAGCTCGTCATTGTGAGTCTCTTTGCACAATTCATACAGCTCTTGCAGTTTGTGTCCGTGGCTGTTGATAAAAGATGCATGTGTGATCTGTTGTAGACAGACGGGATGGGGAAGTGTGAATGGAAAACGATGCAGCTAGGATTTGTGGGAATTGCTATGGTGCAAATTATTGCATTGATCATTGTAGCATGCCCCGCCGCGGTGGTCTAGTGGCTAAGGTACTCGGCTGCTGACCCGCAGGGCGCGGGTTCGAATCCCGGCTGCGGCGGCTGCATTTCCGATGGAGGCGGAAATGTTGTATTGTAGGCCCGTGTGCTCAGATTTGGGCGCACGTTAAAGAACCCCAGGTGGTCTAAATTTCCGGAGCCCTCCACTACGGCGTCTCTCATAATCATATAGTGGTTTTGGGACGTTAAACCCCACATATCAATCAATCATTGTAGCATGAGAAGGTGATGGGGTGAGCTGGCTGGGTGGAGGCTCACCCCATCACCTTCTATTGGGAAATAATTTAGTGGGTCAGCTGAGTAAAAGTTTTGGCGTTACCCCTTTACGATCATGCAGTGTGTAGTCACATATGTCGACAGGTGTTTATCGTTTTGGAAAATGGTCCTTTGATGTGGCCGCGAAAATGCGTCCGTCATGGAATTAGTGCGATATAGAACCATGCATTTGTTGCTCGAGTCCAACCGAGCAGGCTCATCTAACAACAAACTTTGAGAAAGCTGGAATGCGGGGGCTTGTCTTATCAAAGGAATGATGGTATTTATTTAGTATATTTGTTGGGATGGGGGAGGATATATGGATGCAATGTATCATTTGACTGCATAGTTATGCGGGCAAACAACTCAACGATTAGCTCACCAATGGAAATTGTTCGAAATGGGCTGTGTATTAGCCGACTCGAGTAATTGTTTGTGGTGAATGGGAAATCTGCCACGACCTGGCAAGGTTTTACGATACTTCGTGAGACTTGGAAGTTTTATTAGGCCCCGCGTATTTTCCCAAAGCGTGCGTTGCATCGAAAAAAAAAAGAAGTGAAGAGGCTAATCGTTACAGAATCTGTACATGTGACGAGGTTGTATAGGGGAAGCAATTTTGTGAGAGAGAAAATAAATGTCTAAAAATTTTATATATCTAGCTTTCCTGTCCTCATCAAAGTCATTCCGGAGTTATGTATCTGCAGAATGTTTGTAGTAAAATGTCCTGAAAGACTGAAACTGAAACACAGAGCAGGGAGCAAGCCTGCTTCGTGAAAATGTCGACGAGAAGTTACGCTGCTTTCATAACCACCTGGTGCATGAACTTTCATTGTAAATAAAATTTTGCCCTTAGTTCACTAATGAGGGCTTTTTGTATTTTTCTCGACATATCCATGACAAACTAGTGGCTTGTATCCACAGATTCACAGATTGTTAAACATTGAGTGAAGGCAGGGGTAACAGCTCTCTGCGTATATCATACTTGTATAGTTTTATATATGCATCAGCATGCCATGCAATTTGGATATAGCACTTTACAAGTATGTCAACATGGAAAAAAACCTTGAGGTGGTCTATATTGATAAACATGAGGCTATTACATCACTCTCTGTCAGGCACGTAGGATTGCTAGGTCAGTCCGACCTTTGTACAATACGTTGTACGAGCATGTGGCGTGGTCGCTAGCGTTCATGTTATTGTTTTTCATTGTTGCCTGGGGCAACCTTTGTCTCGCTATCTCCCCTAATCAGTCGGGCATTCTTCGTCACGAATGCTGCTTGTCTTGCGTGCTGTGTATCGATATAGTGTTGGAGGTAAAAGATTGAAGCTTAGTGTTAGAGACATAAGATTGAAGCTGAAGTGGGGGTGGCCTGTCCTCCAAGTGCAAGTGTGATTACATCGAAGGAACATTTAGTGTGTTTTCTTTGTTTTTGTTTTACAGCAGTTGTTAAGGTTTCGCAGTGCATTCACTGAGAAAATTCTTTACCTTACTTTCACTTACAGGGCTTGCTGACCATTGCATCACCTTTAGCAGCATGTCAACCAATTGCCCCTCCACCATTTCCATCCAATGACAGTTTTGCCTGGTTTGTCTTGATTGCCAGGTTTGAGTGTGGGCTGTCGGACAAAGTGAGTGTGACATACTAATGCTGAAAGAATTGCCGTTTCTTGGGGTGCCTTATGAAAAAAAAATGGTTGCTGTTCAACACGACAGATTATTTTTTAAGCCAGATGTTAAAAGATGAGCACAGAGGCAAACAATACAACTTAGTTTGTTTACCTTCATTGACCTTCATCCTTGTATTTACATTGCTGTTAGTTGTATTTCATATGTTTGTTTAACGAGTGTCACTGCTTATCTATGAATTACCCACTGCCTTGTTTCATAAGGAATAGTGACTAGCACTGGTGTACATAGATCAGGGGCTTTGCACATACCAAAGCCATAAAATTTGTTTGGCAAGAGCTGATAGATTTGTGGCCTAATGGTTTGATTGCTGATAGGGCTTGATGGCAACTATGTAAATGTTTTGAATAACTGAAATCCTAAGTAATAACGAATTCACCAAGAAGTAGGCATCATTCTTTTACAAGTGGATGAATAAGTTTGCCCAATGCAGTGATACACTGCACTCTGATTGGTGGCTGAGTGATTGCTAGTTTCCTTGCCACGTTCACTGTCTGGCACTTCATTTGCTTTATTGCTGCTATAGTCAGCACAGATGTTGGTGGTAGAGGAGGTGTCATGCTTCATGATTTGCAGTGACCAGAAGTTCATCGATAGCAAAGGAAGTTGTTCATTACTGTCGATGAATCACTAGAAACACATGTTGGACACAATGCACAAATGTGGATTAGTCTTGGCTACCTCTAAAAAAATTGAAGATTGAAGGGATGAAACTTTGTTGACACGAGATGTCTCTGGAGCCGACATTTTGACAAGCGCACTCGTCTTCTTCAAAGTTGCCACCAGTTCAGTTTCAGCATTGAATGAGACAGTTCTGCTTATAGAAGCGTTGGCTCCAGCGACACCCTGCGTTAATGAATTTTTCAGCCCTTATACTTGGCTAGTCGCGTGGATGAAGTGCAGTTGGTGATACGCATCATTGCATTTTGTACTCCGGAGCACTAGCATTATATCGAGCTAAAAGAATACACCACACATTTTTGTCATTCTGGTGGGTGAACTTGTAAGTTTTTGTGCAGGTGAAGTTCAAAATATTGACTGTTCCAATGAACTGTGTGTGTAGGGCAAGTGTCTCTGCTGCCGTTGTCGAAATAACCAAGCACGTCTATATTGTCACGGGGTCGTGACGTCGACGAAGGGGAGCAGGCAGTACTTTGGAGAATAATCTATTATTCGGCCAAACCTGTGGCCACATGAAAGGAAAGTAAAATTACAGCGAGACACTGGCACTGACAGCGGCAAATAGAGCGTCGACCGTCGATCAACTGACCAACGGCGAAACGTGTCGGCATTTATACATTTGCCATCGAATATTCTAGCATTATCGCTAGCGGCGATGTAGGTTTCAGAAAAATCTGTAATGTTCACGAAGTGAGTGTAATCTTAACAAAAGGATCTGCTACAGCCTCGAAGCTTCTCAAACATCGTAGGCTCGGTTTGCACTGAACGTAGTGTGACGGGGCGATAACAAAGCTTGAGAAAGGAACGTGGCAATATTACTGCTTGATGATGGTACAGAAATATCGCTAATAATGAGGTTGAGAGCCATGGATATGTGTAAATATTACTTTCCTTAAAAAATGTGACTCACAGGTTTGTTATTAGCATAATAATTTGAAGCTATAGTACTAATATAAAAAAGTATGAGTTTACATTTTGAGCATGATTTAGCAAGTACAGTTGCTGACTGTTTATTCAGAGTTGGCAGGAACTGCTGAAAAGTCTAAATTATCTATCTAAAGTTCGCAAAAAAAAAAAAAAGATACACCTTTAATGGCCCAGTGGCTGCCAAAGCTTGTCATGCACGTCAGCGCACAAGAACGATCACAGATGACCAAGGCGGTCTGTGTTTCGACCAGTGTTTGGCTATCACTGTGGATTGTCGATAGCGCCGTTACGGCCTGTGCTAAATCCACATTTGATTACAGTGGTGTAGGCAGTGCTTCACGGGAGTCACTCACTGTCCACATGCACTGGTTGAGGGATGTGACAAATGGTATCATCATCGTCCAACACGGCGAAAACTCCCAAGCAAAATCAGATTGATGTCGACTGCCTTCGACATCGGCAATAATTGGGAACTTTTTTTTGCCACCGTCAGTTCCTTGTAGTCCCGCGTAACGGCACCGGTGGAATGAGTGGCGTTGGAGTTAGCTTCAGATGATCAGGCCTCGCATGTCAGCAGGAGAGCCGAGACACAGGCCTAGCCGGAAAAACAACTGCCAATGAAAACTCAAATGCTAAAAGGGAACAGCATCAGGCTAAGTCGTGCTGCAGTGCTCGTGATTTAGTTCTCACTTTGTCCGTCTCATATGCGTGGTCATTCTCAAAGGCTACATACAGCCAGCTGACTTCGAGCTGGCTTGACATAACTTAGCTTGCAGTTTAGCTGTAATAATCATTTAGTGGATACTCGACTGGCTAAAGTCGAAAGATGGCTATTACGTGTATACAAAAAAAACAAAAGCCTCAAGATCGGCTATTGTAATTTCTGCATTTAATTTTACTCTGTCAGGCCTCCAGCTATCAAGCTTTCATTGCAAGAAACTTGAAGATATTCTAAACATTGTGGACAGTTGGTCACGTTAAGCCAGCTAGAGTCCGAAAATTCTCCAATGTTGCACTGTAGGGCATCCAAATTTTTTAGTTGTGTGTTTACTTAAATGGGACAAGTGGCAGTGCTGCAAAAGAGTTAAATTAAACGAGCATGTCTGAATAAACGGTTGTCAACTGTACTCGCTCCTGTGTTCTTGAGTTCGGCTGTGTTCTATGCTGCATCATCTGTCGTTGGTGTGTAAAACTGCTTCTCAGAGTGTGCTTTTATAACCTTGATACGAATTTGGAAAACTTTGTACCTTACCTTCGCGCATCTTTTTTTTTTTCCAGGCACGTTTTGCCCAAGAGGCGGGATACGATGTGGCTGTGATTTATGACCGTAAAGCGCACAACAATGGCCCCTTTGAAACCCACATTACACCAGAGCCCAAGTACTACCCTATCAAAGGTACTGTTACCCAACTCACATTCGCATCTGATTTATCAGCACCTGTACCATTTGTAACTTTGCTGCATTAACTTTTTATTTTACAGCTGGCATGTATTTGAGCTCTTAATAATCGCAGATTGCTGTTTGAGTTTGAACGTGTCAAAGTGCACTTACGTTGATCATTGTGAGCCAAGACTGAAGTTAAACTTGGAACGCATTAGTTCGATTTCAGTTTCTAGACAAGCTGTAGCCATCCAGTGAGGGATTCTGCTGAGCCCATAGGTTGGCAAAACTTCTGGAGCTCACTCAGACTCACTAGGGGAATATATCTCACCCTTTGGACCTTTTACACTCACCAAAGTTTTTCTCAGCCAGACTCGCTCGGACTTACACTCACCAAAGTTTTTCTCAGCCAGACTCACTCGGATTCACACTCACAAAATTTTTTTTCAACCGAACTCACTCGGACTCAAACTCGCCAAAATATTACTCATCCCAGTTTTAGTGAGTCCGAGTGAGTCGTCAACTCCTAAGTTCGTTGGCCTATAATTACATTTTTCAACCATGATGTCTATGCTCTACAGCACCAGTATCTCTCGTAATTGGTGCCTGTTCTTGACGCCTTTTGATATAGTACCTTCCAATAAGATTTATGAATGCTCGCAAACCAGTAAGGTCACATTTCTTGAAAGGAATGACAAGATACGACACACCTTATTTACTCGCATAATCCTCGCACTTTTTTTTGGCGTAAGACCGATGCGAAGTTGGGGGGTGCGAGAATTACGCAGGGAAAACTTTTCAGAAAACGTACAGAGTGAAAAAGAAAACTAAGTGGCCCCAAATCTGGATTCTCACACCAGCAACTAACAGCAAGCTTTGAGAAGTACTAATTAAAACTTGCCTCAACAATAAAAGCACACGTTCAACACAAGGCAACATTTATTTGAGACACAAAAAGTGCAAGCAAATAGTCGAGAATTAGAATACCATACGCAAAGCTTCTGGGCATTGCGGGCGTGGCAGTAGAGTTCGTTGCTCAACAGGAGCCCTCAAAAGGTAAGCGTAGGATGTCAGTATTGGGCTGATAACTATTTAACAGAATCGTCAGCAGTTTCCTTCTGAGGAAATAAAGTTTACCATCAATCCCAGTTTTAGGCACACGGCAGGCCCAACGCGTCTTGTGGCTTTCAGATGCCGTCACCAGTAGCGAACACAAAACTCTTATGCTCCGAAAGGCCTACCGGCAGCCCTGTTGTCATTGTTTAGATCATGATCTATCACTTTCAACTTGAAAGCAGCCGTGTAGCTTCAGTATTGCCCCATAACGTGACAAGATTACCAACACAACATACAAAACATGGCATAACACGCTCTTGCCACTTTGGCTTGGTTTGAGTTGAATTTAATCTCTGTGCAATAATAGTACGCTTGATGCTTAAGAGATGGCGCCAGATGGCGTGCACTATCATCATCAGTGGCTGGAACGAGCAGATGACATTATTGCGGCAGTTTTTAGTGGTATGATAATTACTTGAGGAAAAAAAATCGTATTATTGTTGGGCGAAGTGGGGAGTGCGAGAATTATGCGAGTGCGAGGGTTACGTGAGTAAATACGATATTTATCAAAACCTGCCTTGGAAGAGTAGGTGGGTAGGAAGGGGGGTCAAGACTCTCTCCCTTGCGTAATTCACCCCTCTGATCAATAAATATTGAATGCTGAAGATGAGTAGACATGGGGACCATAAGACGGGAAAAGAGAGCGAAACTCACTCAGACAAATATATCCCGTGCTTTGGACTCGCTCGTAGTCTGAATCACCAAAGCTTTCTCGAGCCGAACTCACTCTGACTCACACTCTCGAAAATTTTCTTCATTCGGACTCACTTGGACACAGACTCACCAAAGTATTGCTCACTTGGACTCACTCAGACTCAGGCTTGCGGCTCAATCTGAGTCTGAGTGAGTCGATTCGTGAGAGAGTTCGCCAACGTATGGCCGAGCCTAGTGAACTACATATTACACAGCCCATTTTCAAACTCTATCGGTTAGCTGCAGAGCCTTCACTGTTTTTGTTTGGCTCCCACGAGCACTGGGCAAATTCCTCAGCATGACAGACAAGCAAGTGTGTACTCTAGGTCTTTAAGATTTTTGCGCGTGACCCCTCTCTTGTCTGCTGCGCGACGGTATACTGATGTACTTTGTTCAGCAGAAGCAGTAGGCACTAGGAAGTAATTGCATGCAGTCGGGTATTTCAGCAAGTGACACGTCAATCTAGGACTTCTAGCCAACTTGTTGAAAGGGAAACAGCCAGCAGAGATGTACCACGTTGCTGTTATCTGCATTAAAACCTAGTACAAATAGATAAGGGTTGTTGTCACATATGTGCTCAGGCACTGGCATTGAAGGGAGTACTGAACACTAAGACTCTAGCCAATTAATTTGATATAGGCAGAGGTGTGGCATTCACATTGCCCTGCCATGATTTCACTGAAAGTTGGGAGTACTTTATGTTTTGAAATAGTGAGTTTTATTGTTGTTGCCTTGTTAGTTATTGTTGTTGCCTTGTTAGTTGCCTTGTATATGCGTTTGATAAGGTTTTTGGCAATGATTGCAGTGGTGAGCTTGACATGCTTTCTTGTTTTCTGTTGTTTTTTTTATTAGGTAATGGCCTAAAAGACACTGATGACCTTAATATTTATGCTGTTATTGTGAGTGAAGAGACTGGGATTCGGCTCAAGCGATATACATACAAGGATGAGTAAGTTTGCTTAAGTTGTGTTCTTTGAGCAGAAAAACCTTTCTGTGCCTGATACTTAGATTATTACTGGGCCACAGGGTGGTAGTACTCCTGTGAAAACAAGTTGAGTAGTAAAATTTTAAATTTTATAAAAAAAAAATAAAACATTGCAGTTTAGGCCTATGATACCACAGTGGAACCCCGACTATATGACTTTCAGGGGACCACGTAAAACTGTCGTATAATTCAAAAAGTAAGATTATAGGCAGTGACACGCAGCCTTGCTTAAAAAAAAAAAAAATGGGTACAGACCACCTGAATAAGCCCACGGTATGACTTGGTGTAAGGAAGGTAGATTAAATTGTTCTTACCAGTGGCAGCTAATGGCAGCATTACACACGAGGTGCGAGCGAATTTTTATTCTCAACCTTTAAAAAAAGTCGAATCTAAATACATCATTTTAGCAATAAACAGAGTCCCAAAATTGTGTGCGCCTGAAGACAAAAACCGAAACCGCGTTGCCAATAGACACAATGTCATCGCTATCACATAATGGTGAGGAACCAGGAGTTTGCGTACGATGGCTTTGTGCTCGACTGAGCTGTGCACATTGTAATTTGTTGCTTTGTGAAGTGCAACTAGTGATGTTCCACTAGTTGACATCAATTGAAAGTAATCTTTCACGGTTGAAATAGCTGTGTTGCGCCCTTATGCGTGCTCAAGCCTGTGAGTGCGAGTGTGACAAAGGCAGGAGATCAGCTGTATGTTGACCAGGAACAGATTTCATGGACCGAAAACGTGATCAGCTTTTCTGCTGGCTGAAGCTACTCTCTGTAGATAAAGCTTGACTAGGTAATGACTCTGGGTACGTACATACGTGGTCGAGGCGTATGTAGAAGCGCATGAATTTCCAGGAGAATAAATTTCCCATTTTAAGAAGACATGATATCTCACTCTCTACTTTTCTGATCGTCAACTTAGGGAAACGAAAGTTTACATTTTGCACATGTGAATATTTGGTTGACGTTTGATTCGAGTGCTTTTTTTTCTTTCGGACGGAATCTGAAAGTCGCAAAATGTGGGGTCGGCATATAACTGCATCGTATAACCAAGTTTCAATTGCAATATTTTTGTGGGGATTTTGCCGGGACCATCCGATTCATCATAGAATGTGAGTCATCATGAAACCGGGGGACGTATAAACGAAGTTCCACTGTACATGTGCTTTTTCTGGTTATTTATTCATCATTGTTCATTTAGTTTTAGCTTACCTCAGTGCAGTGCATTGATGATTACATGTGAATAATTTGCTGTATTTTTGTAATTTTGCAGCTACGAGGTGAAGCTTTATCCAGAGACTTTCCAGAGCATATTAAGCTATCTGCTGCCATTCCTAGTGATTGTTGGAGCCTGCATCCTTGGACTTCTAGTCTTTATGGTAAGTGTCATGGTGTGTACATCTTCTAGTTTCTACGGAAGTGTCAATACGATATGTTGATGTACGGCTGTAAATTGTGTTAGCAGTTTGTATACCAGTATTTGTGAAGATACGGTACTTCACTGAGAGGCTGTAGCTACAGCATCTTTGCCTTAATTATTTCTGAGAGTCCAATCATTAGCTGCGCAGTTGAGTACTGTTTTGATAATGCGCAAGGCTCTCGTACAGAAGCCAAAATGTCGTTCATATGCTGCTCCTTTGAAGCTAGACGTCATTGAGCGAAACCTTGTTGAAAACTTGAAGGAATCGATATTCTTTTTGGCTGCTTTATAAATTCTTTTGTGTATAATATCTTCACATGTGATCAACTTGCAATTAAACATACCCAATTTTCATGAAACAATTGCCTTTGTTGTAATGTTTCATATTAAGTTTTCTATTATTAGCAAAGCATCTTATGCCTAGAACACCAAGTTGCAAATTCCTTTCGTTAGTTCTAACAGTGATTTACACAGACGAGGACTAGCATGCAGGAGACGCTCTCAGGCTCTAGCTCGCAAAATTACCTACTTCTTTGTGCATTTGTGTTTTGCAAGTTATTTGTAGGTATGGTGGCGCAACTGTATGGCAGTTTTGTGAATCTCTGCCGCAGTTGGTGCGCTGCTTTCGAGACTGGCGCAAGAAGAGGAAGTCCCGGCTGTCCCGCAAGTTTCTCAGGCAGCTGCCGACTACAAAGTACAAGAAAGGAGACATATACGAGACTTGCGCCATCTGCCTCGAGGATTACGTGGAAGGGGACAAGCTGCGCATTTTGCCTTGTGCACACGGTAAGCACCTTACGCTTTCTGTGCCATTTATAATGAAGCAAAGAGAGGCTGCAGGAAAAACCACTCTCCCGCGTCACTTGTTGTGGTAAAGTGGATGATCGTGGAAGTTGTCAGAATCTTCGGAATCTACACAAGCAGAATCTTGTCAGAATCTACACAAGCATGGGCACTGCCCGTGCAGTGCCCATGCTTGTGTAGGGTTGTACGTGCCAAAATTAGGATGCAGTTACGCAGCCCTTGCCATTCGTGGGAAGATTACTTTGACCGCCCTGGGTTCTTCCTCATGTACATAAGTGTTTTAGAATTTTGCCTTCGTTCTTCACCAACTCTCGCATGTGCAAGTGTTCTCCACTTTGCCTTTGTTGTGATGTGGCTCTGGTTCGCGTTTGAACTCGCGTCCTCATGCTTAGTCCCGCGATGGTAGGTGCTGTGCTTAAGTTGGGCTAGTCCAGCCTACTACAGCTTCTCACTCAAATTGCCATTGTTATTGCTGCAGTTCATGCACTTCTCTTAATTATCTAATTAAGGGCTTCAAAAAAAGTATGAATTGTGCAGACATTTTGCATAAACTTTCTCACTATCTACTGAAGTCACATAATCCAGGATACAGTATAACCTTGCTACAACAGACTTGCGGATACCGTAAAAACTGGAATATAGGTCGACCCCCGAAACTTTGAATTTCTGAAAAAAAAATTTTTGAAAATCACAAAATATCGCGGCACACCCTTACTTTGGTAAATATGCGACACAACCAGCTGGACTGTGGTGACATTTATTTTTATTTAGACACTAATCTTTTGTAGTTAAACATTAGAGGGCCACAAAGTGCTGTCACTCAGACTCGTTCGAAGTTGAGTCCGACTACGTCTGTTTCTCACTAGTTACGTCCCAGAGTGCATCGTCTTCCGTTCCATCCAATGTGCTACTAATGCAGCATTTGCGGAAAGATGGAAGTACGCCACCACAGCGCAAAGCCCTTCCGCTTCATAAATTGGCGCACCCACAATGGCGATCCCTTGAATTGTGCCCTCGTTAGCCCAGAGTCGTGCGCAATCTCGAGAGCTTTTATGCGGATGCACTCTGCTGTTACAGGCAGCGACCTTGCACGCAGCTCCCGGATGAGTTCGGTGAGTTGCGTTTGCAGTTCGAGGTGCTCTGTAGTCTGTCCACGAAATGATGTTTTTTTTTTGGTTGCTGCAGGATGTGATGCGCTGCTTTTTGCTCCTCCAGTATCGGACACTTTTCTTCGAAGCACCGAATTCCCGTTGTGCCGCCAGGTTGCCGTGCGCTTCGGCATACTTGATAACGTTTTTCTTCAAGTCTATCGTAAACTGCTGTCGACTACCACTCGTTTCTGAACGAAATAGAAAAAAGAAAACAGGCACACTGACAGCAGATAACCGAGGCAAAATAGCATTGCTAGAACACTGTAGGCCTTGCCTAGCCTTGTCCAACGGCGCCGCTGCTGATGGTCACGATGGAAATGGAGGGTTTCACCTGCAGCTTGCCGATTGTTACGAGACTGCCAAATTTCTTTCTGCCAATGACCGGTATATAAGGCGAGGATTGACTTTTCATTGTGTTTTTTTTTTAATTCGACCTATATTCTGGTTTATTACGGTACATACCAATTAGTGTCGTTATGCTGACCACTGTATTTGTTCCATTGATCGAGCTTCGTTTACTATGGATTCTTGTACAAAAGAAATTCAGATGTAATTGACTAAAATGCGAGGCCAGCAAGCTGGTCAGGACTACTTTACATCGGCATACTTTCGGGACAGCAACGGCAGGCTGTGGGTATTTACGTATTGATTTAAGAACGAGGGCCGCCAATCTGCGCTTTGTTAATGGTCAGTTATGCCTAACTGAGGCGGAGGGGGTGGGGAGTAACAAAAAGACTGTGCGCGGTGTGCTTGGTCTTGCGTTTTTGGGCGTTGGCGCAGGAAATATCTAGCCACTGCTCGGAGCGGTCGCTGTGTACCGAGAGCTTGGCTGTGCGGTCAGCCGATGATGCGCGAAATGCCCATTTGCAGTTCTTAGGAGCCAGCTGGTGATGTAATTCATCGCTTTCTACAAAGCACATTACGGCTTCTTCACTTTATCATGTTCGCTTTCGTGATGATCTAGCCTGCTAAGTCCAGAGCGATGTTAGGCTTAATCACGACTGAGCAGAAATCTCTGTTGTGGTGGGCATGGACCGCAGTGTCTGACGTTTAAAGTACGTCATACTCGATTGCGAGTGTAAAGAGTTGTCGTGCAAAGGTCTTCTTTCCAAGGTCTGAGTGCTGCCAAGCAGCGAGTTCCAACGAGACGCTGTTACAGTGAATTTGAGACGCGCGTCTGCAATGTTGGCGACGAGTTCCGCAGACTATCGTAATCTGATAACTGAACTTCCGCTTGCAGCTGCCTTAACTACATCGCGACCCGTGAACACAGAACTAGGTAGCACGATCTTCAACAGTTGCGCCGTCTAGGAGCCACAATTTCTTGAAACTTGCCATTTTTTTCTTTTTTGTGACTTCCGCAATAATGTTCACTACCTCTATAGGTGCAAATTTTTTTTTACAGAACTTTTGCATAGTTCTCAATGAAGATATTGTTGAATGAGATATGAAAAAAAAAAAGGGCGGGGGAGAGGTCACAGAGACCTAGTGTGATTTTCAAAAAAATTATTTTTTTCATTCCCTTATTGAGAGTATGTCCATTTTGGCTTTTAATTCTCTCTGGTTATTACAAACGCATTCAGTGTTTCTATAAAAGTTTGTTGTAAAAGTGCTAGGATTTTACAGACTCCTTTACAACAGACCAAAATCCTCTTCACCATTGGAGGTCTGTTGTAATGAAGTTATACTAGATTGTATTTAACTGTATTTTAACTGGCAAATATTTTTACCAAAATTGGCAACAAGTGAAAAAAATTGGGGAACCTTTAAGATTCGCCTTTAAGAGTTCAATGACATAGCAAAGTGTGCCTTTCAACCGCTAAGTGCATACTTATTAATATGTTCTGTTGCAAACACTCACACACACAAATGCAAAAGTATGCAAGCACGACGTATCTATAGTAATGCAGTGACTGTGCAGTGTGGCCACTTCCCTCTGCCATAAAGAGTCTCACAATGCCTCACAGACGCAAGCATATTATTTAGGGTTTGCTGTTTGCTTGATCAACGCAACGCCTCCTCTATGCCTCTGGAAAGGCATGAAATGTTTTCCACAAGATGGACATAGTTGTCCATTTTTAGAGCTCGTTGAAAGTTCCTGTGGGCTTTTAGCGGCGATGTCTGTACTATTCCGGTCTTTTTTGACGTAGTTTGATGGCCTCCCAAATGCGGCTACAAATCGCCGAACAGGATCGTTTTCGTTGTGACACCTGTCGAACGAAATGCGTTAAGGAGAGTCCTTCCACTACGTGGTATTTATGTAGTGTTTTTTCATGAAGCAGCTGCAAGTAACATCGTGGTTTTGTGGTAGGACATCTGCTTGCCACGCAAACGACCCGGGTTTGACCTTCAATGGAATTGAAATTTTTATTCTTTATTTTATTACAAGTAGCAAAGCCATTTGTAGTACAAGTAGAAAAGCCATTTGAAGCCAAAGGGACAGATGTGGCAAGTGAATGTTCCTATGCTGGCTGAGCTCCTGTACCTGTAGCTTCATTAGACACTCACATCACATTTTTCTCTAGCAATTTCGTTGGGAAACTTGACGCATTACACTCAAACCTGTGGGATCTCGATGTGGAGAGCGAGCGCCAAGCTCTTGGAGTGAATGGAAGCAGTTGATACGGTCGAAACGAACCAAACAACACACACATTTCTTTAACTACTTCTAGAACTATAATATCGTCAGCCAAATAATTATACATCAATGCTCAAACACGCTAAAACAACCTTGCACATAATTACGCAACACTCAACAGCATAACAAACACTAGGCGGCGTCGCCAATGCCTGACTCACCACGAGGGCCCTGGGTAGACGGCACGCGGTGCCGTGCACCGGGACACACCACGAGGGACAACTGAGAGACAACCGTTTCGCCCGCCAAAGGTCACGCGTAAAAAAAAAAAAACTCGCTCAATTCTCTCGTGCCATCACCAAGGCTTGCTGCCAGGGGTCACCGCGGGCACTACAGATCCAACCATGATTATGATAGTGGTGATCAACGCTCGCGAACACAACGCCACCTACCGCTCAATAGTTGTGACCCCAAATTACGGCTTTGCGCGAGACATGCGCGCCACGCGGCACAAACAACTTTACAGAGGATGTTAGCACCTCCATCAATCTCATTATAACAAAGTTGAATCTTGCACAAAAGCCCTGCTGCAGTGGTCTAGTGGCTAAGGTACTCGACTGCTGACCCGCAGGTCATGGGATCGAATCCCGGCTGCGGCGGCTGCATTTTCGATGGAGGCGGAAATGCTGTAGGCCCGTGTGCTCAGATTTGGGTGTACATTGAAGAACCACAGGTGGTTGTAATTTCCGGAATCCTCCACTATGCTGTCTCTCATAATCATATGGTGGTTTTGGGACGTTAAACCCCACAAATCAATCAATCAAATTAATCTTCCGCAAAAAAAAGTTCCTTATATTAAAAAATTCGTTATAAAGGTTTGTTTTTAACACTACAGTTGAAACCAGCAATAAAGAAACACCGCAAGTACGAAATCTCCGCGGCAACGAAATATTTACGGATCCCCGGCGAACGTTCATAGAAGCCCATGTATTACGTATCTCGCGGCAACGAAATGTTTCTTGGACAGCGATCCCGCATTAACAAATTTTCTACCACGGTACAGGCCTTATTTTACCCCTCCCACCAAAGGTTAACTGTCGAAAATATGCTCCTATGCGTGTTATGCGCACTAAATATTTGTAAACGTCTGCTTTTGCCGCGCTAGCGTGAGCACTGTCATTTTTTTTTACTGAAGGGGGGGACGCGGCTTTGGGATCGCGAAAAATGGCAAAAAAAATCGACTTTTTGAAAAT